AAGGACGACGTTGAATTGGATGATAGTGCAAAGGTCAAGGCGATCATTGAGATGAAGAGCCTCGGCTTGTACGCGAAGCAGAAGGCGCTGCGGGATAAGATTGGCCGCTCGATGATGTTCTATGACAACCTTGCAATGACGACCAACCGCTCCGGATACCGCCGCACAAAGAAGATGACGGTTCGCGAGGCCAGAATCACAGAGAAGCTTGAGAAGCAGCAGCGTGATATCCGGGAGAACCGCGAGAAGAAGAGGCACACTGACTTCTTGGCCGCCATTACTCAACACAGAAACGAGATTCAACAAACCGCATCAAGCCAGCGCAATAAGTCCACCAAACTCAATAAGCTTATGTTTGCCCAGCACTACAACATTGAAAAGGAAGAGCAAAAGAGGATTGAGCGTACTGCCAAGCAGCGTCTGCAGGCTCTTAAGGCCAACGATGAAGAGGCTTATCTCAAGTTGCTTGACGAAGCCAAGGACACCCGTATTACCCACCTTCTCAGACAGACCGATGGGTTCTTGCGGCAACTCGCTGCTTCCGTCAAGTCTCAGCAAAGGAAGGCCCTGCTGGAGCAGACTGGCGAAGAGGAGGAGCTTCCAGAGGAGGAAGAAGAAGAGAGCGAACCCGATGAGGATGACGACGACACAAGTGGACGAAAGATCGACTACTACGCCGTCGCCCATCGCATCAAGGAAGAGGTCACAGAACAGGCCGATATCCTGGTGGGTGGTAAGCTCAAGGAATACCAGGTCAAGGGTCTGCAGTGGATGATTTCCCTGTACAACAACAACCTGAACGGTATTCTTGCCGACGAGATGGGTCTCGGCAAGACTATTCAAACCATCAGTTTGATCACGTATCTCATCGAGCGCAAGAAGCAGGATGGCCCCTACCTGGTCATTGTACCCCTCAGTACTTTGACCAACTGGACACTCGAGTTCGAGAAATGGGCGCCTTCTGTGAGCAAGATTGTCTACAAGGGTCCTCCTCTGGCCAGAAAAGTGCACCAGGACAAGATCCGCCAAGGACGTTTCCAGGTGTTGCTCACGACTTACGAGTACATTATTAAGGATCGCCCAATTCTCAGCAAGATCAAGTGGTTCCACATGATCATTGACGAAGGTCACCGTATGAAGAACCAGAACTCCAAGTTGACAACTACTATCCAGCAATACTACAACACCCGATTCCGTCTCATCTTGACTGGTACACCGCTCCAGAACAACCTTACGGAACTGTGGGCTATGCTCAACTTCACGCTACCGACCATTTTCAAGTCTGCGACAACCTTTGACGAGTGGTTCAACACACCTTTTGCCAACACTGGTGGACAAGACAAGATGGAACTCACGGAAGAAGAACAGATTCTCGTCATTCGTCGTCTGCACAAGGTGCTGCGTCCTTTCTTGCTCCGTCGTCTGAAGAAGGATGTCGAAAAGGATCTTCCGGACAAGACCGAGAAGGTCATCAAGTGCAAGTTCTCTGCTTTGCAATCTAAGCTTTACAAGCAGATGGTCACGCACAACAGGATCCTCGTCAGCGACGGACAAGGTGGCAAGGCTGGTGCTCGCGGCTTGAGCAACATGATCATGCAGCTTCGCAAGCTTTGCAACCATCCATTTGTGTTTGATGAGGTCGAGAATCTCATGAATCCTATGAGCATCAGCAACGACTTGCTATGGAGAACCGCCGGCAAATTTGAGCTTCTCGACAGAATCCTGCCCAAGTACAAGGCAACGGGCCATCGCGTTCTCATGTTCTTCCAAATGACGGCCATCATGGACATCATGGAGGACTACCTCAGATACCGCAACCTCAAGTATCTTCGTCTGGATGGTACAACCAAGTCAGATGAGCGTTCTGATTTGCTGCGCGAGTTCAATGCTCCCGGCTCAGACTACTTCATGTTCTTGTTGTCGACTCGTGCTGGTGGTCTTGGTCTGAACCTGCAGACTGCTGACACTGTCATCATCTACGACTCCGATTGGAATCCTCATCAAGATTTGCAGGCTCAGGATCGTGCTCATCGTATCGGACAGAAGAATGAGGTTCGAATTCTTCGCCTCATCAGTTCGAACTCGGTCGAAGAGAAGATCTTGGAAAGAGCCAGGTTCAAGCTTGACATGGACGGCAAGGTCATTCAAGCCGGTCGCTTCGACAACAAGTCGACAGAAACGGATCGTGATGCTATGCTGCGTACCCTTCTAGAAAGCGCCGACATGGCGGAGACTGGAGACCAGGACGAGATGGACGACGAGGAGCTGAACTTGCTCCTCGCTCGTAGCGACGATGAAGTGGCTGTTTTCCAGAAACTCGACGAGGAGCGGAAGCTAGACCCAACCTATGGCGAGGCAGCTGGAGCAAAGATTAAGCCTCGTCTACTCGCGGAGGATGAACTTCCTGAGATCTACCTGGGTGATGGCAACCCGATTGAAGAGGAGATTGAGACAAGTCTTGGACGTGGAGCTCGTGAGCGAACTAAGGTTCGCTACGATGACGGTCTCACGGAAGAGCAGTGGCTCATGGCTGTCGACGATGACGACGACTCACCAGAGGCGGCAGCAGCACGGAAGCAAGCCCGCAAAGACAAGCGGGAGACCAACAGGCTCAAGAGGTCCGCTATGGCCAATGCTGCTGACGACTCTCCCCCTGCAAGTCGTGCCAGCACGGAGGAGGTGGAAACACCCAAGAAGAGAGGCCGTAAAGGAGCCGCGAAGAACCAAGAGAAGCGGAAGGCAGAAGAAGGGGACGATGAGCCTCCGGCTAAGAAGCGTCGTGGCCCACAAGGTAGAGCCAAGGCGGTGTCGGTCTCTGTTGGTTCCGAGACGCCGCGAGTATCGGCTCAGCAACGCCAACTCCTGCAGGTAAACACGAGGGCTCTCTTCGACGGACTCATGAACCTTGAGGTAGATGATCCGGAGCCACCAGAGGAGGATGATGACGAGTCGGTTGCGGGCAAGCGAATCATCATTGGGCCCTTCCTTGCTCTGCCCCCCAAGCGCGACTACGCCGACTACTACTTGATCATTCAATCTCCTATTTCGATGAAGCAGATTGAGACCAAGATCAAGAAGCAGCAGTACCACAGCCTCGGCGATATGCGCAAGGATGTCGACCTCATGTTCCGCAACTGCCAGACCTACAACGAGGAGGCATCGCTTCTCTACCAGGACTCTCTTACTCTCCAGGTTAGTAACTTTCTTGACTCTTTTTGTGAACATTCAACCTGACATGCACAGAAATTCTTCCACGAAGAACTCCAAAAGGCTCTCGACAAGCATGCAGAGTTGCAAGAGCTGGAAAGCGACGGTGGCAAGGAGGGCTCAGTGGCGCCTAGCGCGAGTGCGAGCGTCGGAACCCCTCAACCAGCAACCTCCACCACGAGGATCAAGTTGATTTCTTCGGCCTCCAACGGCGCCAAAGAGACAAACGGAGCAAGCAACGGTGCGCAAAGCGACCAGGAGTAGCCGAATGGGGGTTTATTGGTTTCTACGTTTCAGTGGTCACAGTTGACGTTTAATGACGTTTGTGAGGGTTTTTTTTTCTTTCGGGGGTTTGATGCTAAAAAGAAAATGGCGATGGCATACAGTCGAGAGGCGACCAACGGCAAACGCAAAGCAGTGGTCTACTCAAACTGCGAAAACATCAAAGACTGTTGCACATTTACAGGCGTACAGGATTGGGAGGCTTTTGGAACGTGTACAGGTAACGGCGGGAACGGCACTCGATACAAATACCATGGGCCAGAAATGAGGCCGCAGAGGGAATTAGTTGAACGGTGATGGATGGCGACGGAGGGGGAAGGTTCTGTCCCGGTTGACGATGGCAGAGACCCGTTGCGAAGTTTGTTAGACTAGCAAGCAAATGTATTTTAATAGATGTGAGTACGATGGACCTGAACGCATGAGGTGTATTCCAATTGTCTGGTAGCCAATACCGTGGTGTTTGATGTACACGAATGGATACATAGTAAACAGTCGATCAATCGAGCTACCTGTCATCCATCAACATTCGCAAGGGTTGATTGCTTTTTGGGTATTGACGTGCTCGGCTAATAACATGTTGGGAGATCATCAGGCAAGGTAGGGAATGGCCCTGTAAATTAAGACGGCCCGACCATTTGATCCATCGTAAGGAAGAAAAAGAGCATCGATTTTCATGCCCAATGTGTCTTGTTTAATTTGGTTGTAATAGAGGGGGCTGGGGGGGAGAAACGATCGAGGTTGGGCCTAGGTTTCTGAACGGGCGGGCCGGGGGTGGCGGTGCCTTTTTCGACCTCTCACCTCTCACCTGCTGCTCACCACACTCATCTCGCGCCGCACCTCTCATATCGCACCTTCCAGTCTCACTGACTGACTGACGTTGCGTGGCGTTGCGCGTACACATGCCTTGTCGCAAAAAGGCTTTCATTTTCAATCTCGTCGCAATACACACTCACACGCAACGAACATGTCATCTCATGTCATCCATCTTCAAGCCCAATTTCATCGCAAGCAATCGAGCACCTCATCACCATCATCCATCGGACTTTGGTCATCACTTTAATATCAGCGCAACGCCCGTGATTCTTCCACTCCTTTTGTTTGGTCTCTGCCCTGCATAACGAAATTTCCCGCGCGCACTCCCGTGAAGAAAAGCTCCGTTTCGCACGGTCTCACCGAGCCACACTTCACTAGTGTCACGGCGCAACAGCAAAAGCCAAGGAGAAACAGACCTCTTTTCGTGAGGGAGAGGAGGAACTAGGAACAGGCTACCCCCAAAGGACCGGATTCCCGTTGCTGCGGAACCAAGCCTCAGTAATAATACGCTCAAAGCTCGGCGGCGAGCGCAACGCAGCGCAGCGCATTAGCGGCCGCGCATTTTTGCATTTACAGCTTGCATCTGCAGCAGCAGCGCGCAAATCTCATACGACGGACGGGAAATCAAAGAGAGGGACTTTGCGCTTTGCGGAGACAAAAGGGAATTGGGGTTTGTGGATTGTCCAGAGTATAAGGCAATGGACCACCCGAGTCCGTCCGCCGACCGCAGCAGCGGTGCGGCACCACCACCACCACCAGGACCACCACCACCACCAGGAGCGACGACCAGACGAGAAGGAGATGGGCCAGCTGGCGTAGTGGTAATATCCGACGACGAAAGTTCGGCCAGCTCAATGTCGGATGAGGAGGACTCAGGTACCGACCACAACCACGACGACAAGAAGCGTCATCACCGCGACGGCACCACCCCCGCCGGCGGCAGATATAGACCCCATACACCTACGCCGCCGCCGCAGCGACGCTCACAGCAACACGTTCCGCCGCCGCCTAGGGGGAGCAGGGAGAGAGATATTCGTGCGGAACGGCATCGCGACTTGCGTGAACGTGAGCGTGATCGGGATAGGGATAGGGATAGGGATAGGGATCGCGACAGGGACAGATCTCGGGGTCCGGACCCGAGGCGACGAGGAGGAGGGGGAGGAGGGGGAGGAGGAGGACTGCCACCATCACCGCCACTGGACAGGGACCGGGATCGAGATCGAGACAGGGACCGGGACAGGGACAGAGATCGCGACAGAGACTACGACAGAGACAGAGACAGTGACAGAAGTCTGCGCGACAGCCCGCCTCTGAGGGATAGCCCTCGCCTACGAGACAGCCCTCGTATAAGGGAACGAAAGCGGCAGAGCTTCGCGTTAGACGAAAAGTACCACGGCGGAGGGGGAGAAGGAGGCCGCAGCACCGTCAACGGCCACGCCAGGAGACAGCAGAGCGTGCCCCCCAACAGCGCCAACAACGGCGCAAAAAGGCAGAGCATCACGGAGCGGCTCATGAGCACCTGGACAGCGGCGCGGTCGGGCGCGGCGCGCGGCGCGGGGGATCATCCGCCGGGTGTCGGGGCCGCCGCCGCCGCCGCAGCATCCACGCTCCCCTCGCGCCGCGCGTCGTCGGCCTCGACGGCGAGCAAGGCATTCAACCCCGTCGGCAGGGTGCGCGAGTGGCTCGACACATGTAATGCCGAGCACGGCGACCACTGCTCCGGCCCGCCGACGGATACGTGGCGGCCGATATGGCTGATTGACTCGGTGAACCGGTGTCTCGTGCGCGCGAGGGCGACGGATCGGTATATCGCGCTCAGCTACGTCTACGAGCCGCCGCTGCCTTCGTCGCGGGGTCCGGTGGAGACGTTGCGGGAGAACCTCGAAGTGTTGACGGCGAGCATGGACGACGCGGATATCCCGCAGACGATTCTGGATGCCATGTGGTTGGCAAGGAAACTGGGGATTAAGTACCTCTGGGTCGACCGGTTCTGCATCGTGCAAGACGACGATGTGGAGAGGGAGGAGTACGTCAAGAACATGGCGTACGTGTACGCCAACGCCTATATGACCATCGTGGCGGCAGCGGGCGACGCCGAGTCCGGGTTGACGGGGTTGTTGCGGAGGACGCCGCCGCCGAGGGGCACCGCAGCGAGGAAGCACGAAGATTTGGTGCTCTCATCGCGGTGGGCGGGTCGGGCGTGGACGGTGCAGGAGGGCATGTACTCGCGGCGGAAAGTGTACGTTTTCGAGGAGACGGTGACGTGGGAGTGCCACTGCGACTTGTGGCAAGGGCCGCCGGGCGCAGCGGGCGGCGGCGGCAGGTTCAGCAAGATTCTCAAGGGCGGAGGGCTGGGGAGGCACGGCGGCGGCGGGGGGCCGTGTGCGTCGAGGACGTTCCCCGCGGCGACGGGGTACCTGCACCCCGTGTGGCCCGACATGGACGAGTACGCGCGGATCGCGATGGAGTTTAGCGCGCGGCGGGTGACGCTCATGTCGGACACCACGAGGGCGCTGCGGGGCATCACGACGGTGCTGTCGCGGTCGTTTGCGGGCGGCTTCGTGTTCGGCATGCCGGTGAGCTTCCTGGACGTCGCGATGCTGTGGCAGCCGAGGGCGATGGTGCGGCGGCGGCTGATGGTGCAGCCCGTGACGGGGATGAACCCGCTGCCGTCGTGGAGCTGGCTCGGGTGGCACTACGACGGCGTGCCCGCGGACCTGACGCTCTGGCGGGCGGCGGCGGATTACGTCCAGGAGGCGCCTGCGCATCACGGCAAGAGGGGCGCGGAGAGAAGGTTCAAGAGCCCCTACGCGTTCCGGTTGCGGTCGTTGGTGAGTTATGAGCTCACGGACCGGGCGACGTATACGCCGTTGCCGAATGATGGGATGGCGTACCGAGATCGAAGGCATCGGAGGACGGTGCCGTTGCCTGCTGGGTGGTCGAGGAGCGGCGGCGGGTTCCGGTATGCGGGGGATCCGGAGGTTGTGTTTCGGTACCCGGTGCCCGTGGCGGAGATGGCTGGCGGAGGAGGAGCGGACGGAGCCATCCCGGGGGCGGGGTTGTCGCCGTTTGGTGACTTTGCGCTGAGCGCGACGCTGCTTTCGTTCAGCACGACGGTGGCGTACCTGGACGTCGACTTCGCCGTGGCTAGGAACGGGGCGCCGCTCGATGCGAAGGCGGCTAACGCGGTGAACTCGGGGAATAATACGGGACCTGGCACGGGCTTGGTTGCTCCCGGACGAGGATACGGCGTCCCGTTGGCGGTGGGCAATATCTGGTCGAGGACGGGCAAGTGGTGCGGCGTAGTGACGGCGCACGATAGCTGGTTGGGCTTGCAAGGGGCGAACCATACCGGGGAGGAGAAGCTCGAGTTCGTGGCCGTGTCGATGGCCAGCGAGAGAGGGGGGAGTCATGTGTTTGACCTGGATGCGTTCCGGGATAACATGGACGAGGATGAGATTGTAGACTTTGTTAATGTACTCTGGGTGGAGAGGGTTGGCGGGGTGTGTTACCGGAGGGGCCTCGGGCATGTTGTACAGAGGGTGTGGGATGCGGTTGCGAGGGACCGGATTGAGGTACTCCTGGGATAGGAGAAAAAGAGACGAGGAGAGGTTCCTCACAACGCATTAATATTTCATGTAAAACATTCAATTAACGAAATACCCGCTAGAGCCATGTTTGATTCGTATATTAAGTCTTCCCTCTGACCTTGCTACTGATCGTTGCCCTGTACCTTCCATTCCTTGTGTGCCAAATATGAATTGACCATAGGCGTACTGACAGAAGGTTGACAGTATTTTGATGATACCATGAAACGATCCTATCGATTTCAGAGGCGGGTGGGAGTAAACGCCGCCCAAGGGGTCAACACTATTACCTGCTCACCCACAGGTAGTCCAAGCCTCGGGGTGCCTTAGCACTGCTTAGATAAGTTGTATTCGTACATGAAGAAGTGGAGGAGGCCCAGTGCCTTAAGACGCCATTGCGATTTGTTTAATCTTCTACTTTTGCTGACCGTTATAACCTCGGATGCTTGGGATGATTATTTTGCTCCTTCCACTTGTGTTTTAGAAATTGGTTGTTCTTGCTAGAATTGATGCCATAGGATTTCCACGCGATTAGATACCGGGAAGGAGCGAGTGCACGGGCCAAGGGCGGGCGCTCGGACCACTTCGGCATCGTATAAAATCCCCCCTGCACATCCCTCGGGCCGATTTTTCTTCTCTTCCACCAACCAGAACGCACAATCCGACCCCGCAACGTGCCTAGCAGAAATGGCAACCAATCCCCCGCCCCCGCCCCCGCCCCAGCCGGGCGTCGCAGTAAGTACCTTTTCGGCATTGTATCTGACTACGCTTGGGGCATGATTCTAATATCTATGGATTTTCTTATAGCTTGACCCACAGGTCTTGGTTGGTTGGCACGACCAGCTACAAACGCGTGCACATGGCATCCCTTCCGGCTACACAGTCCACGATGGTTCACAGAACCCCCGTCAAGACGTAAGTCTCGTCCAAATACATCTAGAGGCTATTCCGACTATAGTTCGTTTATGTTTCTGTTCCGGCATTTCTAACTATGCTCTGCTCTAAAGGGTCAAGCTTTCATCACTGTCTATGCAGGCGAAAAGTTCTGCCGCTATGCATTCAAGACCGACTTTGGTCTTACGATCTGCCCTACTACCGTAAGTTGCGATCATTGTCCCATTATGCTTTACTTATCTTAATACTGATGACCTTTTAGAGATCTTTCACTCGCGCAGCCCTCCATCACCACATCGTTGGACACTTTGAGGCTGAAGAGGGCTTTCGTCCAGCAATCAATCCAACTGCTAACACTGGAAGCAAGCCCGACGGCACAAAGAAAGTAGGCAGGGGCGGCCGAAGCAGCATGAGCGACAAGGTGAAGATAGTTCGTAAGTCAAGTCATTTTCCAATCATTTTTTCAACATCTCTTACAATTTTATAGCATTCCTTCAGCAATGGCGCTCAAACATGTTGGCCCAAACCGAATCTTTCAACTCCACAAACAACCAAATCCTCTTCACTCAGGCTTCACTGAATGTTCCTGTCGCAGCTGACTCTACCCAGCCGTCGGCCTCGCGCAAGGAATCGAAGGCACGTTTACAGTTTGATCTATATTCAGATCATAGTTCTAACTTTATCTTAGAAGAGCGGCAAATCTGTGGCGTCGTCGAGTACTTCTGATGACAGCGGTTTCACTCAGAAGGACATCGAGGAACAAGCAAAACAAGTAAGGCATTTCACATCAACATATTCACAATATGGTACTAATAGAGCTTTAGTGGCGCGAATACAAGGCACGCTTGGAGGCAGAGCAGCATGTAAGTGTCAAATTGCCCATATGGTAACATTATATCACTAACTTAGTTTGTGGGCGAAGTCTAAGCAAGGTAGAGGTGCTGATCATACACCCAAGTCTCCTAAGTCGTCGGAGATCGACCTTGCCATTCAGGCTGTTCAAGACCTCAAGGACAAGAGAAAGGCAGAAGAGGGCAAGGTTACGGCATTGAAGACGGACGTAAGTACAAGGTCACAACCATATTACTACCATATCACTGACGCGACACTATTACCAGGTAATCCCTATTAACGACAGGATCAAAGAGATCCAGTCAGAAATTGAAAGAGTCTCGGCTGCATGCGACGTCGCCCAACAGGAACAGGACGCTGTGGATCGCGAGCATGCTCAGGTTTGTCAAAGCCCCTTCTCGTTTATATCATAGGTCTAATATGATACTAGCTTTTTGACGAAGAGGTCTATGAGAAGGCAGTCGAGAACACCACGAAGGTCGGTGGCCCTTTGCTCATCCTTAGACCGGAGCTTGAGATCCGACAGAAGGAGCTGGGAGTTCTTGAGGCAGCGATTGAACTCGCTCAAAAGGCCGTGGTAAGTATGGTTCATTCATTCTCAGAGCTTGATATTGATATGGCCTAGGCGGAGCACGCGGTGCAGGTCAAGGGGGCCGAGGAGCATCTACTTGCTCTCCAGTCCGACAAATCTCCCAAATCTCCCAAGGTTGCAGTCACCAATCCGTCGCTTAAGGGACCTAAGAGACGTCAGGGATCTAAGGTACAACAGAAGACTACTTCCAAACAGGTAAGAAGCTTTGAGGATCGTGATACGAACCTGACAAGGGTATTATACTAACGTTATATAGAAACCCAAAGGTCCTGTGTGGAAGTCGAAATTTGTCAAGTCACGCGCTGCTTAGGAAATGGCCGCGACTGAGGTTTTCGACCAGCCAGCCGTAGTCGAAAAGGGCCTCAAGAAGAACAAGTGTTGCGAGACTTGTGTTCAGGAGTGTGGTCGTAAGCGTAAGTAAATCCGCTTCCATCATCTCGCCATCATGTTATCTAACCTAATACATAGCTAGCCAGCGCTGCGCTGGTGATCACGAGGATTGCGCACTGAGCAAGATCATGGGAGGCCCATACACTGTGCCTGGTGAAGATGTTCCCCACACTAAGGAAGTCTATAACCACCCATCCCTCCACGGATGATATGGATATGACATCCGGCTTCAGGAGGACCATATTCAATTCACGTTCAGTACATAGACAATGGGGTTTTTTTTTGGGGGCAAGGGTTGCTTTTTAGATCGGAGGAGGGGCAAGGTTTGCTTTTTAAGTCGGAGGAAACGACTCCGGAACATCAATCAAGAATGATCCCAGCGGTTAGTTAGTTCAATGAATGCTTTGCTTTGCATGAAATATCGATTCAAGTTGTTATTGATTGACCTGCATGGTAAATCTGAGATTGCTGTCAAAGCAGCAGAGGTCGTCCTGTCCAAATTGCGTGAATCAGGGAACACGCAGGTTGAAAGTGGCAGCAAATTCACCAATGAACATTGGCACTATCCCCATTCCCAATCTTGACTAAGCTATACAAATATCAATCTGACCCATGCCATGCTTTAAACGTTGGACATTGGACAATCCCATCCACCCTTGCGAATCCATTATACACATTCTCACCCGCTCTAATCGTCATTCTCAACCTCGCTCATCTCCGCCCCTTCTTCAGCGGCGGCGGGCTCCTCGACCTTGAAACCGAATCGCTATACCTCCTCCGCTTCGCACTCATGGGGCTCCTTGAATCCCGACCACGGTCTGGTGAACCCCGCTTGAGTGACCTCTTGGGCGGGGGACTCGGCGAGCGAGAGTACGACGCATCTCGGCCTCCATTCCTCGCCCTCGGCGGGGCCGCGGAGGCGCTGTCACCATCCCGTGCCCTCGGGGCAACAGGTGAGCGGCTGTCTCTCGGCCCTCGACGGTCTACGGGGGAGCGAGACCGCGAATCGTATGATGACGCACGGCTCGGCGATCGACTAGGAGAACGACTGTCGTAGCGGGCGCGTTTCCGCGGCGCGCTGCTCACAGATGAACTATTCCGCCTGGCTGGGCGACGCGCTTCTTGCCCTGGACTACGACCGCGGACAGGTACGCCTCGTGCAGGCGGGGGGGTGACAGAGCGCGAAATAGAACGTCCTCTCCTGGGGGAAGGAGATCTGCTGACGCTTGAGCTGTTCCTCCGGGCTGCCCGGCGAGGTGGCGGTGTCACACTGAGACTACGATCCCTAGGACCATTTCGGGCTGGAGAAGGGGATCTTGAGTAGCTGGCAGAACGACCGCGTCTTCTCGGAGGACTCGCCGAGTACGAGTCGTCGCGGCGTCCCTTTCTAGGAGGCGAGACTGAACGACTGTAAGATCGAGATCTGCTAGAGCTGCGACCTCGACTGTACGAGCGGCCCCGTCCGCGGGGCGAAGGAGATCTGGAGTCGGCATGCTTTCGATCAATGGCGCGTCGAGGCGTCCTCGACCTTGATCGAGAGCGGGAGTATGAGGAGCCCGTGTACGAAGAGTAGCTAGACACCGACTCCGAGTCGGAATCATCAGCCGGTGGTGCAGGTAATGCTGGCTTGGGCATGTTCTGGAGGTACTCGCGAGAAGCCTCTGTGAGAGCACCCATGCCAATACTGGTAAAGTAGTTGATGGAGAAGCGAATATTTCGTGGGTTGTCGCGCGGGAACAGGCCGGTGAAGCTGGGTTGGAGGATCTCGTCCTTCATCCGAGCTTGCAGTTTTGCCATACCAAGCTCCTCAGATATGTCCTGGAAGAGGATCTTGATGAAAATTCTGGAACTACTCGTTGTCTCTTCCTCATTGAGGTGAATAACGGAGAGTACGTGCCAGCCAATAGCATCGGTCGCGAGCAAATGCGCAAAGAAGCGCGCAACGTTGCGAAGCCTGTTGGTCTCGTATCGGTGGATCTTGCTGTAGTAGTCGGCAAAGGATTCTTCAAAGAGACCGGTCCATAACCTGTTAAGCTTGGCGAAACGCTCTCCAATCAGACCGTGAAACTTTGAAAAGGTCTTTTCCTGGGAGCAAATCTCGACAATCATCGAGGGCAGCTCCGCTTCTTGGCCAGCCGGGAGGTTTACCCGCAAAAGCTTGTGCACTGCTTCTTCGGGGTCGATGGACGACATGACCGTCAGGTAAATGGTACGGCGCAGATTGACCAAATCGGTGTTGGACTGGTCCTTGATCTCCATGGCCTTCTCCTCTTCGTCGTCCTCCTCCTCGGAACTCTCATCTTCATCGTCATCGTCGTCATCGTAGTCGCTACCCTCGCCCAAGATCTCGGCCTTGAGCTTCTTGTACGCCTCCTCATGCTCCTCCCACTCCGCGTCGTACTTGAAGATGTTGAGGCCATCCTGTACGTCGATTTCACCGTCCAGGTCGACCATGTGCGTGATTTGATCCTCCTCCTCAACCAAGTCGAGTTCCTCCTTGATGGGCGGGTTGTCCTTGAAGTTGTCCTTGCGAACCTGGAATAGCACCTCAATCATGTACTGCACACGCTTGTCGATATCCGCCTCGTGCAGCACATTCCTCAGCTGATCCCAGACCGCAAGGGCGATTGCGGGCTGCATATCCTGCAAGTGTTGTCCAACTTCGCGCATGAAGTTGACGGCGATCTCGACGCTGTCGTCGGTCGGCTTGTGAAGGAGAAGAAGGAGCATCTGGCCAGCGAGTCGCTCGTGGGCGACCTGGTGGTTGACAAGATGCGCCAGGAATGTCGTGGACGAAACGCAGACAGCCTTGTCGCTGCGCTTGAAACCTTTACGGAAGGACATGATGAGGCGCTTGACCAGGAGCTCGCCGACGGCAGGCAGCTTCGTGTTGACAATGGCCACCATGGCGGCGAAGACGGGCGTAAAGGGTAGAGAAGCCGCCTGCGCCTTCATGATGGATCGACAGAACAAGCCGCGGCCCTTGATCAAGTTCTCGCCAAAGAGCTCGGGAACAATGTGCTTGATGTTGGAGTAGTTGACCTTGTTGATCAGACCATTGATACTCTTCTTCAGCGCCTCCCACATCAGCCTCTGGTATTCCTTGGAGCTCTTATCGGTGATCTGGGCTTGCAGCGCCCTCAGTCGCGCGGGTGGTATGTAGGTGCCTCCGGACCGCATGGACAGCAGCTTCTCGTACTCGGCCTTTGCGATGGCCTGCTTCTCCTCCTCCGTCTTCATGGGCGGCGTCGGGCGTCGTTGTTCTTTGGGAGCCGGGCGGTAGCTATCGGTGCGATCGCGGTCTCGATTGCGGGGGCGATCGTTGTCGCGGTTATCGCGGTGGTGTCGACGGTCGCCGCCGTCGCGGTCGTTTTCCATTTCGCTATCGCGTTCGCGGCGCTCGAAGCTCGGGGAGCCAACGTCTGCCGATGCCATCTTGCCTCTGTTCTCACGTCCTCAGAGCCCTGTGGACGATTAAGAATCAAGCCTGGGAGCCTTGCGACGCAGAGAAATGGCGGCAGCCGAATCGGAGATGCGCTGGTTGCTGGAAGTCTTGTTTTTCCTTTTGGCTGGGTTGGAAAAAGTTACTGCTCCTTTGACGCAACAGGATCGCCAGGCAAGAGTTACCTAAAAATCCAAGTGTGGCTGGGGAGCGAGGAGGACCCACTATGGTACAGAGAGCGCACAGACCATGCGGCTGGAGCTTCCAAAGCACAGGGGGAACCCAAGGTATCTGGCAGGTCCACCGTCCACCTCAAGTCAATCAGTCAACCGTGGCAGCTCCCATTTAGCGCAGCCATAGAGGTCCAGTGCAGGCGCGCCCTCGTCCCCTGAAATCGCGACGACATTTTTCCCGATCGGAGGATCCAATACAGCACCTAGAGCTACCACCTAACTGGCCTTACCTCATCTCGACCTCCTTCCCACAACCCCCCACGACCCTTCTTTTACATCGGCCTTTCCATTCACACAGTCACTGGTCACTACTCGCGCGCGCCCACCTCGTCGATTCCTTCTTCACACTCTTTATTCACTCTTTCAATAAAATCGACAATGGTACGTTGACATTGCTTCTCACCGAGTCGGCTAGGACCCGCCCGCACTCAACAGCCAGCATCCCATCCCACCCTCGAGCGCAACAAGGGAGGGCAGGAGGGCAGGCAGGTAAAACTGAACATGGTCAACAGCTCGCTAATCTGTGCTTCAATTATTTACTACAGAGCGGAACTCTCGTCGGCTTCGCCATGCTCGTGGCTGCCTCTGTCATCTTCACATACTACTCCATCTGGACCCTGCTCATGGTAAGTAGCATTGCCCACCCACCTTCTCCCTCCATTACCATTTGTTCTGCGAACAGGGCCAGCAAGGTTGACTAACACATCTTGCCACAGCCCTTCGTCGATGAGGGCCACCCTCTCCAGAGCTTCTTCCCTGCGCGCGTTTGGGCCATCCGTATCCCCGTCATTCTCATCCTCCTCGGTTCCGCCGTTGTCGGTTCCTTCCTAGGCACCGTCATGATCCGCAGCAACAGAAAGAAGGCCGCCAAGGCCAAGGCTGCCGCGAAGAAGAAGGCGTAAAGGACTCGGGAGTGGGAAATTATTATCAATTGTTGCGCATGTCGATGCCCGGGAGGCCCAGGTTTATTGTTGGATGTCTACGATGATACGGGCATAGAACATGAGGGCCCAAGGGGGAATGGGTCCACAGTTGCGAAAGCACAATGATGGGTATCTAAGCTGGATTTATTGGAGAATGAGCGCGCTGCTCACTTCAAGAGCAAGGCTACCTACTCTGATGCTGCTCGAGGAGATACTACCCTAGGCCAGAGAGAACCCTCAAAAAATCACCAATAAAGGAGTGAGCGGCACGACCGGCCAAGTACATATCCTGCCCCCATGATCCCAGGCCTCGGCCCGACGCATGTCTCTTTGGACCGATGCCTATCATCCGTAGACAAAATCATGGCAGAAATGACTCCTGGTCTAATCTAGCTCCAAACGCCTCGTGATTCCTTTCTCAAACTCTCTGATCTGCAAAGTCAAGCACTTCACAATCATCCTCGAAAAAGCCATCCTCATCCTCCGTGTGCCTCGCCCCACGTCGTCGTCGGGTTGTGACAACAATCTCATCGCCGTTCTCTCCACGGTGCATGACTCTCTCCATCGAAGAAAGCGGGAGCGCGCGGTGATCATCCGAAATGTTGAATTCGTCTTCCGAAACCGAGAGATGCCCAGTATCGAGCTTCACCAGGTTGAGTGACTGACCAAATGCCCAAGGTTGCGAACAGTTTGTCTCAAGAGTTGTTTCTTGAGCGCGCACACGCTGCTGCTGTCTCTTCTTTTGCTTGGGCGTTGCGTGATCCTCCAGTGTGGTATCGGCCATCAGCGCAGCAAGCGATGGAGCCAAGGCCGCTGGTGGACTTGCATACTCATACAAAGCCACTCGCCTGTCGGTATGGAAAGGCTGGTATGGCGCGCTGGACTCGATCTCGGCTTGCGGGATGGATGCTTCCGCACTCAGATCGACTTGGAGCGGTCTGGCGCGCGGGTCAAGCGTCAGCGTCTTGCCCACGTCCATTTCTCGGTCTGACAGGTCCAGATACTCGTCCGAGTCGATGAATTGCCGAACAGCTGGCGAAAAGCCATCGTCGGGGAGTGCCGGCACCTTAAAGTCCTTGTATCGAACTCCTCGAGGTGTACGCTGCTTGTTGGCAGCCGCCGACGGCCGACGAGTCTTGGATGGGAATGTTCGCACTAGGCCGTCGCCGACCACATACAGAGTATGGTATTTTCTACCAGTGATCCATACGACGCATGATGAAGCTGGCAGAAGCGAGCTTTGTGGCAGAGAAACGCGGTTGTCTCCCGTGTGGCGCAGCTGGTTTATGGCGACGCCGGTTTTGCCCAGGGAATGACTGATGCTCGCAGCAATGGCTCTGCCTCCAACGCTGGCTGAATCGACAAAGTTGCCACCGGCCAAGCCTTGAGCGTTCACGCTGCTCCTACGCGGCCGAGTGATCAAAGGTCTGGCGGCATGGTAGGCAGCGCCAAAGGCACTGGATGCGATCGATACAGCTGAGTTAGGTGCATCTGACGCGGGGGCGCCGTTTTCTTCCGTGGCCTTGCGCCGGCGAGGCGGCGGCCAGGTGAAGGCACTGAAAGGCATTTCAAGGAGATGAACGGTCCCTCTTTCCGTGACCATTGCAATCCGCTCCCCGTTGGGTTTCGACCAAGCCACGTCGACGATCCGAGCAACGGTCATCCGTGAGAATTGCGCGACCTGGCGCACTCGTGGGCCGACTGCGTTGTTAGCCGCGATCACCTGAAGAGGTGACGACTTGGTGTACTGAATGCACATCAAATCCCATACAGTCTGCACGTCGCCCTTGCCGCTTGCTGTGAATAGAGATAGCCCAGTCGGTGAAAAGGACAGGAAGCTGCAGCCAAGTGGAGATGCAAAGGTGATGAGCGGGTGCAAGGTGGCCGAAGTTGGCAAACTGTCCATGTCGAGGATAGAGACCAGACCGGGGTCTTTAGTCACTGCTTGACCAGGTGTACCGTGAGTCGGCGGGAATTGGTTTGCGTCGTGTCGAGGAGGATACGACCCTGCCCATTGCTGCGCTGTCACAGGAGGGGATCGAGACTGCATCGGAGGCGCCTGGTTCGCATTCTTGTTCCAGTACGAATTCCAGGCCGACAGTCCTTGCTGGCCAACCCACTTTGCTCCAGAGATCAACTCTTGCGTTGTTTCACGCATAATCTTGTTGACCATGCTCTCGGCCATGGGAGAATCAACAGATCCAGTGACCGCGGGTAGCACAGGAGACGTCACCGAAGAGATGCCCGGGGCTTTACCGAGAATGACCACAGGTACATGAGCGCGCAGAGCGATTTGCGAAGATGCGGCTGGAGGACAGTAGGCAATCCACTTCCCGTTGAGCGACAGGATTGGGGTCTGCGGGTTGGGACGAGGAGGCACAGGTGAGTGGCGGCGTTCAGCATCCTCGGCAACCTCTGCTCGAGGGGGCTGTTGGAGGCTGGTCCAGAGTTTACCAACACAACCGAAGCGAACTGTGCCGTCGTTGGAATCCAGGATAGAACGGTAAACCCAGCATTCTCCACTCACTCCAGAGGCGATTGCAATGTTTCCAGCATCAGCTTTGATCGTGAAAGCACCCGTCAGCGGCGGCGCCTTGAAGATCGGGCTCGTTACGGGTGTTGCCAGAGGGACTTTGGGAGCTTGTAGAAGCACGTCGACGAGTTTGCCGGTCTTGAGAGAATATAGCTCGACGGATGTCTGGTAGAACTCGATGGCAGGCGTGAATCGGCCGGAAGGGCCTCCCTTCTGGCTGCCATCAGCTCGAGGGCTACCTGGCACATCAGCTCTGTCTTCGGTAATGTTGTCGTTTGCCGCTTGAATTGCGATCTCTGGCGATGTTTGTGGTAGCACAGGCCCGTGAATGACGACAGCCACGAGTGGAGAATCATCGGCCTTGTCTCCAGGAGTTGACCAAGGAAGGACCTTGGCATCGTATACGCCTCCTCGCAACCCTTTGAGGCCGGCAACCCGATCTAGGCCGCGCTTGCTGACTGAATAAACTTCGAGACCACCCTCATAGCCCGCCAGCGCAACATTGTCTGATCCTGGAGCGAATTCGTTGTGTGCAGCAGGGAGTGTATCGAAGCCAAAGTAATAGCCCTTATCGCCGGCTTTCATGCCAGCCTTGGAAGCCATATCAAAGTCGATGTCAGGAGCACTGTAAAAATGCGGCTGGGCCTGATGAGGGAGCGGGGGTTGGGAGCCTACTCGGGCGTGGGACATTTGCGACTGCATGGAGCTGCGACGGTATACTGCAGCTGCAGCCGGCTGATGGTAGGCTTCAAGGGGAAATTGCGCATCCATCTGGAAGCTGAGAGGCCGCTTCATATGGTTTGGCATGCTGTTGGGAGGAGATGGCGAAGCAGTCTGGGGCGTCAGGGACTGGCGCTGGACGGCCCATCCGTGGTGGAGGCGACCAGAGTCTTCGTAGGAGGAAGGTTGAGTGGGCGGCGACTCGCCCATGAGACTGATCAAGTTGCCTGGAGAGCCAGCGAGCCCTCCTCTTGCCCAGTCGTGGTTTGTACTTGCAGCCGATGCGGATGTGGTGGAAAGTGCATCCAGAGAGGGCGAGACGGTGGGGTGCCCATCGTATGGGGACGGGTCTTGAGTTATGGGTCTAATGTCGGGAGAACGGACGGGAGGCGACGATGCATCGGACGGAGGGCTCTTGGAAGGGCTGCCGTTTCTTTGAGGTTGTTAGCCATCGTGGTCGCGACAAAGGTAGAAGGGCCACAAGGGTTGCGGCAGTGACTCAACGCCGACTATCGCGGGGTTCTAAGATGACGGGCAGGGGTAGAGGGGAACCTACGCGAACTTGCCCGCGGCGAGTTTTGTCACCGCGGCGCTAACTGCACCATCTTTCGCGTTCTTTCTGTCCTTCTTCGAACCTGAAGAGAATGAGATGATGAGTATGGCAAAATTACATTGGTCCCGGCGCGTATGACAGCTCAGGGGCGCAGGAGAGAGACCCGAACTTACTCGGCATTCAAGTGGTGTTGCGCGGCAGTTGGAGCAGTCTCCTGCTCCAAGGACCTGCGTTTCCGCAAGCCAACTGTACCTCTTATTTGGGAACGATGAAGTCGATACGAAGCGTGTATGCAAGTGTCGCAGTACGTGGCTCGATATCGTCGTATGAGGGTTGTTGGAAGGCTGCAAAGGACGAGAGTTGAGTTGTTGGTCTATTAGAGAGTCGCGCGAAAGTGGTCGACAAAGGCGGCAGATGACCTCGGATGACGAAGGCTGCCGCAGGCTATTTTTTTGTAAAGGCTTTGAATATGAACAGTTTTGCGTGACAAATAGAGGCAGGCAAAGCAAGACGGAACAAGTCGAATACCGATCGGTAAGCAAGATGGACGTCGGGTTGGAGGTGAAAGCGAAGGGAAGAAGCAGTAAAGAGAGGGAAAAGAGCGGCTTTACTTGCAGGCACTGCCAAAGTGGAGAGCAAGAGAGAGATTACTAGGATGGCCAAAGGAAAATCTATAGAAGAAGACAGAAGAGGAAAGACGTGACAGGTCGTGACGGACGTGACGTGACTGTTGTGTTCACGGGAATGCTGCTATCGTGGATCGTTGTTTGAGTTGTTGGTGTTGATGAGTCGAAGGAGAGAGCACGGGGAAGAGTGAGTGACAGTGAGGTGAGGTCAGGTAGGCAGGTCCCAGGTCCGGTCGGTCCAGTTCCAGTTCTAGTTGAGGTGAGAGGTGCGGTGGTACTACTGTGTACCTACCATGGGTACGGAGTACACTACGTGCCTTTGGGTACCCCCCGGCCTGACTTGGACCTGCTGCTCTATCCGTGGCTGATGGCGGGGGTGGGTGGTCTGTCCCGCCTCCACCCCCTCCACGGCGGCAGCGGCATCTAAAGGTAAGATAAGATACGGAGGGGAGACCTTCCTCTTCCTTCCATTTCTTACCTTAGGTAAAGGTAAGGTAGGTACCGGTAGCCGGGCGCACTATCCAAACAAGACTCGGGGCACATTGCACCACCTGGGCACGTAACAGGGCGGCCTCTCTGACGGTTCCAGGTTGCTTTCGTTTGGTATGCGAGAGGCCTGCCAACTCTCATACCTACTTAGCAACACCTCATTCTCAGTCATAACGACGTTCCCAGGCACAACAGAATCCTGCTTGCTACCTAGCAATGAAAGCCATATCTGAGGCAACTCGGGCAAGGTACCTTCAGTTGCTGGCCACCCGCGGGATGGAAGCGGGGCATTCGAGTGCTTTCGCTCTCTCCCGTCCCCCCCAGTTGTTCAGGTTCCATTGCGCGCCTCCATCACCCCCGAGTACGGAGTACGGCGCGGTGTGCCCCCCAATCCAGTCTCCCCTCCAAGCCACCCCTCCATGCCCCCCTTCTGATTGAGTCTGTTGGAGGAACCTGAACTAGGATGACAGGGGTGTCAAGTGCAGACAACCTGCTAGGATGCACTTCAGAGGGGGAGGGGAAAGCAGAGAGACAGATGGTGGGATTCTGCGATTGGATTGGCACTGTTCTGCAACTGCATCTACGAGCTTGGTAGGTTCCAGGCTGGAGGTAGCTCTCGGCTTGAACCTCGCCCGGCAGGTACCTGCGATGCGCATCACGGGCAGGACGCGCACCGCGGATACTGGTGCAGTCTGCAGATAGGTACAGCGCACCAATCTTGAACCAGCTCGCAGCGGACAAGGGGGGTTGGTTGGTTCTTGAGACTGCCTGTCTGGGGGGCCCCGGTGCTCTGTACCTGGTCATGTCCCTTTCCGTACCTCCGCCGCAGCTCTTGCTTGTCGGAGAACTCGAACATGACCGTACCAGCTGACGGAAGATACATGGTCCCGACGTTCTACGAACAGGTACCTTTCAGTTACAACAGCATGGCAGGTACGTAAAGACAATGGAAGACACCTCCCCTCAAGCTGGGCTGCAGCGGGCGCGGATAGCAGGGCTAACACCTTCAAGACTCCAAAGAGAAAGAGGCACTTCCGATCCCTTTACACGCCCTCGCTCTCGCTCACTCCTCTCAATTTCACATTGGACCTTAGCAACCGGAGTTGAGTCCAGTCCAGCCCAGCCCAGCCTGGCTAAGCTCCAACATATGAATTACCTCCTTTATTTGCGCCTCCCGGTCTATCCTCTCTTTCACTAACTAGTTGATTGCAGGCAAAGAATACCTACGCGCGCAGTAGCGTTATCAGTTCATCTACCCTCAGAATTCCTGACGGAAGCGACCAAATCAAACTATCGTCACGCCAGACGAACGGAACACTGATTCAACTACGAATTCAATATTGTCTGAGACCACCTCTCATCCGTCCACCACTAGATTGACACATTTTCTTCCATTGCTTTCTACCGAATCTCCGAAGTGTCTGCCACACACACTCTCTCTCTCTCATACACTTTGGTACACACACTCACAAAGCCACTCAAACGCCTACCTAAGCTCAGCTCTGCATACGCATACAGACTCTCTTGCCGAGGCCGGAAATGCAGGCGGCAACGGCGCGAGGTCCAGCTTAAAGCTACAATGTCCAAGCCTGGCAAGCCAAATACCTACTATTACCGTCACAGATCCCATCACAAACCCCCAACAAGCCATCCTTGGAGCGGGGACCAGCTGCTGACACCTGGGCTGTGCGTGCGTTTGCCCCTGTGCCAGCAACTTTCAAGACGGACGACGGCAAGACGAACAACAGACAGACAGATGAAGGTGACGATCTGGGGCTGGTGACTGATGCCATCATCCCGCTTTGGCCTGATGACAAGCGGCGCAGGCTCAACCGATGCTAACTGGACCAAGCTTCCTCCTGGGGTGGAATTATGGACGGATTCCAGACTAAATTAACGGTGTCGACTTCATTTGCCGCCAAACACTTCAGGATTGCGGTCCTGCTTCCTGGCTTCCTTCTACGGTATGCCGTCGTTATCCCGTATCCTCCCGTTGACGGTCATCCGTCCGTCCTATCGCACCGCTTCCCCATTGAACTGCCACACATTCGGCGGCTCAGGGCCAGACCGTCCGACTGACAAAGGCACCTGACCCCCCTCGGTGGAGGAACGGGGGGCACCACGTCAGGTGAACGAGCCACTCACAGCTCTACCGTGGACCACGAGAACAACGCACCATAGCTGACGTATGGAGGGGCTTTCCTGGATACCCCTCCTCATTCCCCCCAACCTCGCCTTCAGCTTTATTGGGTGGATTGCGAACCTCGATCATCGCCGTTTCAAGAATTGAGATGCCGGCGACTTGTCACGATTCTGTTGAGGCAATACCTACTTGAGTTTCTGGCTACCTTCGGTCCAATTACTTAAGCAACCCATTCGGATGAGGCGTAGCTACGCGAGACGAAGCCTGGACGAGGCGACGCGCGACGAATGCAAGGCACGGGGCCAACCGCGCCCGCTACGCTGTCGAAGCGCAAGCAAGCGCATGGGGCGGTCTGAGGTCGAAGCCATCACCGGATGAATCTGCCGTCATCGACGAACTCGAGGCCAATCTGCTCGCTGCTGAAGACGGGCAGAGCAATGCCATCGCCGAAACACGGTGGCTGCGACAAATCGCATTGCGCCGCCAATTGGCAAGTGCCCGACGCTCAATGAATGACTGCCACATCTCAATGGCTGGATTGCTCTGGTTCACATTACACTTCTCCTTGCTATTCGACACACTGCTCAATTCTGGATATTTCCGCTTCAGCCAGCGCCGTCATATGTCACAACTTCAAAACTCTGACACCGAAGGTAGTTCCCCCTCAATAGGAGCCCACTGGTCGAGCCAAACTCGATATGCATCCATCCGCCACACCCCATCCTTCTTCACCCAGTCTGCGCTACCCGCCCAGCTGAAGACGTTCTCAGCACCATCCAACCCCTTCCTCCGAACTCCCCCCTTGAGCATGACGTGCACAACCTTCCCCGTATCGGAGCCGATTGCACTCGTGATCCAGTGCTTCCTCGCCGCGACAGAGCTCCACATGTCCGCCCGTAGCTGACGGAGGTCTGATAATACACAAAATATGTCAGCCGTCCCCATACCTCAGAACACAATGCTGGGTACTACGTAGGTAGCAAAACTCACTCTCGTGCTTCTCCCCCGCCGCCGGACCAATCTTCACTTTGGCATCGGGCGTGTAGAACTCGATCCAGCGCTCGTTCAGGTCCTTGTTATCGCTGGTCCGGTAAAAGTCCCGTATCCGGAGCCGGAGGTCCCGCTCCATCGCCGTCTCGCTGGCCGAGAACGGCTCCATTCTGGAATAGCTGTCGTGGGGCTCCACGCCCTCTGTGGCTGCAAGTGAAGCCATTGTTTTGTCACCCTAAGTTCTGATGGTTTTTCCCCTTCACTTTTTGGCGACTGATAACCCTCTTGGGCGCTTCAGTGGATTTGCTTATACCGGTATAGAGTGATAGTAAGTGTGAGTATTGTTGACAGCGTGTGAAAGCACGTGGGAGGAAGCAAGATGACGTTTATATCCGTCCCCCGTTCCCAGATGCGGGACGGCGGGCGGGGTGGGAGGCATCCCCACAAGTCTTCGGCCCGGAAGCCCTGACGGCACCCGATGAAAGCTTCGGAATCTTTACCTCGGGAAAGAAAACGCGACATCATTGCCTACCTACGACTTGTTGCAAATCCACGTTTCGTTGTCTTTCTCCCGCCTAGAGCCATCTGGCGGGCTTTGGATTCGATTTGTAATGATATGAGTGCGCTGCACCTATGCGTTTCTCGGAAGTTCCGTCGGAAAGGGACCCAAAAGTTGACCTCACCCTACTTCTTTAACGCGACATGCGCTTCCGGATTTTATAGTTGAGTGCAATATAAACACACCAACTCAGGTATAATGTTCTTCTGCGTAAGCTGCTTGGCTTGTCATATAATTTGTACTGTACATGATATCGTTCTCTCCATTCCATCCGTACCTATTACCCCCTTCCAGATCGGATGATGAGCTCGCCATGGTCCCATGTTGGACCAGGTTGGAGCCGTAGAAGAAAAGTTTGAGATAAAAACCTCCGTTACAAGACCTCGAATGGATCGTCAACTGTTCCGCCACCATGCACCCGCGCTCCGGAGGTACCTGTATCATCATCCACGATAGCAGGCTTACATCGCCCGTCTCCTTTCGCCTTGGTAGCCCGAATGGAATCCTGAGAGGAGTCCATCTCAACCTCAAGAAGCATGCATCTTGCTCTCATCCCGGGGGCCTCGGTTCGTACATCCTCCACATTGGCTTCCTCCAGCCTTCTCTTCTTGGCTGAGGCCGACTCACAGGGAGTATCGTCGTTGTCGAGGCTGTAAGCACTGCCGTATCGAAGGGCAATACTCCCATCGTATCCCGTACCCCTCGTTGTCTCTTTGAGACTCCGGTTTGCTCCGAGCTTTGCAGGTCGTTTGTTTCTGATATCGAGGGAGTTGCTGGCATTGCAGTCTTGAGCTTGGAACGACCGGATGGGCTTGCAGTAGCCGGTACGGCAGGCTTGTGAACCAGAAAGGGCGAGATCAATCCTTCAGAATGTCTGCTGTCAGTTGGAGACTTGCCGTGACCAATGCGACTATTGCGACTATTGCCTCGAGGCTCTATAGAGGAAGTTCGAATCTTGTTGGCCTGGCATTCCGCAAGAATCTGCTTTTGAAGCTTCAGAAGGTCTGGCGAAATGACTTCAGCTCCATCAACACCAAAGGCGATGTTAGAAGGCTCCGTTAAGTCGTCAAGAACACCGCCTTTTGCCTGAAAACTGTTAATGAAAGGAACTAGGCTGCCGAGACTCATCTGAGGAGGTAGGGGTGCCCGCGCTGAATGTGCCGGATGAATCTTGGCTGCCGGAGGTGACCTCTTTTTCTTCCTCCACGCCTGGTATGTTTCGTCGGACATCCCAAGCCCTAGAATTGCGTCCAGCATGTCAAATTTCCCATTCTCGATCGGACTGCCCGCCAATTCGCGGTCGCTTCGCAATCTGTTCACTAGAAGATTTCCCTCGGATTCGATGAAGACATTCTCGATACCGGGGAACACATTACAGGGATCCAGTTCGATGGAACTCGTTGGGCGCTCCTTACGTTTTTGTGCAACCTTGGCGACGAGGTCGAGAGCTTGAAATTCGCCTTTGAGAAGCCTCTGGTTCAATACCATGGGTGTGAACTGCCTGATCCACCAAATAGTGGTCATTCTCGAAAAGTAGTACTGCTGCATCCAAGGAATCGTGGTTGCCAGGCTGTTCGTGGTGCGGGTGCCATACCACTCGCCCTGCAGGAAAGGGAGCCTTTTGAGTGTGTCTGAGGTGGACACTGCGGGCGAACGACAATTCTTGAGGGCATCAAGATCAGGGAAAGTCATGATATTGGACTTGTCCTTGTTGAAGTGCAGGTCTGTCAGGCTGGTGATTTTCTCAATAGAATTCCTCAAGCGCGTTCGCCATTGATTCCTTTGAGGAAGCGTCTGGATACGACAGAAGCTCTCGACAAGGCCGCCGTCTCTGACAAGCTCTTGAGCGAGACGTGTCCCGCAGCCTAAGAGTTCGGAGGGGGCGTAGTCGCAGCCAGTGAGCATAGCGAAACAGGCGACACTTTTATCATTGTAAAGGCCAGCCTTCAAGCGACGGATTTCTCTCATGTCGAAGATTCGCGCATGCTCCTTGGACTCGTGGTTCTTGGTATCCCGCAGGTCTCTAATGACAACAGTGGAGCCGAACATGAAGCAATCGCCGTCCTCAGACCAGACTGCATCGACGAGACCTTGTTGCTGGAGTAAAGCGCATTCAGCTTCAGCTTCGCCTGGTGCCTGGAGCCAAGGTACGAGAATGTGATCCAGCGTGTTCTTTATGAGAGCGGTGGTTGACTCTCGTTGACCGTACCGTTTGGAGCCCCGCTTGATTTTTGGGCGCTGTTCGCCGTCGAAGACAAATACCACATGGATACCGAGCCGCATCAACGGCAGCAGACGTTCGAGGATGGCCTTCTCTTGTGGGTGGGAACCTAGTGATTCTAGTCGGAATTGTCAGCCTCGGGGTTCTCTTGGGTTTCCAAAAGGGAACAAAAAATGCGTAAGTGAAAAATGGTGCAGGATATATATAGATAGACAAGATTGAAACCCCAGATCAATGCAATAATGAGGGGTTGACTGAAATGGGTGACCAACGTTGTTGAATAGCAGCTTCCTGGGCGTTAGAGACATTCTTGAACTGCCAATGGGCTGCACCGACAGCAATGCGAAGTGGTCTTTCATGTTTCTTCAAGTGATCAGTGGCCCATTGTGCCAAGGATTTCTCGACGCCGGCTTCGTCGAAGAGTTTCCAAAAACTAAGAACATATGATTAGTACACGCAAAAACGATTGCCAAAGCGAACTTCCGCGAACATGGACCAGCTTGAACGCAACCCGCGATGCCCATCTTCAGGACCTGCTTGTTTCAAGAAGGGATCGGTGGTAGAAGGGCTTGGAGGTATGAGAATGTGGTACCGCGTCGAGATAGGCGTGTGTAAGTCGGCTGGCTACAAGCATTCGTTGAATATAGCATTCAGGGATCACCAGAGAATGACTTGACTTGTGGGATGAATGAAGCATTCGGATGACTCGCAGAGGTGTTGAGATGAAATGGACCAAGAGAGAAAGAGATGGAAAACAAAAAAGCAAACATTCTGGAAAAGGTAGGTAGGCACGGGGGTGCTTCAGATACACATCACCAACATCACCCCAGGAAGGCGCGTGCGCACTGACCACCATCAACCACCTCGACTTTCCAGTCTTTCAATACCTCAACCCCTGATATCTCGCCAACAAGCAACAATCCGATAGTTCTGAGCAGAATTCGGGGCGAATCGAGGCCTCACCGACAAATCAGAGCCTAGCCAGAATTGTGCGCGATTAAGGCGCTGCCGGCGGCAATGTCTTTGGAATTTCAGAATTCGATTTCATGCACTGGCCACGCTAACCACCGGCCACTCGTCGCATCGAGTAAGGGTTCTCAAGCCGGACACAGAGCAGTCGCCGGCCCCGCATGTGCCGAACGGTCCCGTGTAACCCACCCCGTCGCCCGATCATGGCACTAGAAGCCTAGGTGCTTACCTATTTAGGACAATATGTAAAGCAGTCGGTACATTCGCATCAACCACACACATTCCCTCGCAACCGTCAACTACGCGACACTGGAAGAATCGCAGACGCCGTAACAGCCACACCGTGGTGCAGCTTTCATATACTGTTGATACACACGACTAATAATGTACAGCAGTGGCTCTTTGCCTATCATGAGCCCTGGCAACCTTCACTCCTCGCTCCTAAAAGATACCCTCAAAAACGCCGCTTGAGTGATCTCCCTTCGATTCAACGCCGTACCTCGCATCTAGGACCTCATCTCAAGCCTTGACTCCCCTAGCATTAATCTCGCCCTTCTCCCCAATGTTCAGACGAAGGCGACAATCGGGGCAGTACCACTTTGTCGTCCGCGCAGGAATATGGGTCATACCCATGCACTCTAGATGGAACCATTCCTTATCGCAATTCTTTTGAACGCAAAAAAGAACAATTGTCAGCGTGATCCTAGACCTCGAGCTACACGAAAAAACACTTACTTCATTGTCGCACGCAATCATTTCGCCAAAGCTGACTCTGTTGCAGTCGCAATACCGTGGCTCTTTCGGGTCGATTGGGTTACCCTCGTCGTCTTCTTCCAACTCGATCTCGATCGGCTGGCCCTTTTCCTTTTTCTGAGCGCGTTTCTTCTTGGGAGCCGCTTTTCGCTTACCCACGGCACTGCTGCCTCCAGCGTTGGTCTTGCTGACGATACCAGGCACAGGCTTTCTAGTCCTCTTGCTCTGCTGTCGCTGCTCGGGAGCTGGCGTATTCCGCGCGGTACTAGCGCGACGGGGTCTGTCAGTTGCTAGCGAAGACTGTGGCTCTTGACTCATAGCTTTTCCTCGCGAGCTGGGACGTCTCCCTTGGCCGTCGGGCACCGGTGTGGTGCCTGGTGTCGCCGCACGCGAGCTTGATTGTTTGATCGAAGGCGCTGCAGATGACGAGCGCTGTGCCTGCGGAACCTGTGGCGCCGGCACTGGTGTGGGGTTGTCGAGTTGCTGCTGATTCTTCTTTGCCATCTCGCCCCTTGTTTCCCTTCGAGCTGCAGAGTCACGCACCGGAGGAAGAATGGGCGTGGTGGACTTCTTGGGGGACAAGATGGGTGGCGGTATTGGCGTCTCCGCGGGTAGCTTGGTCAGTATACTTGCCGGGGCAGTGCTTGCGACTGACGCCGGGGGCCCAACCGAACCAGTCGGCGAAGAGGCCGGCGCGGATGTGTTCGCTGGCTTCGCAGCCGCAGGGCCAGTGCCTGTGGTCGTCGAGCCATCTTGTCCGGGAACAGGAATCGGCACTGGGGTTGTCATCTTGGGAGTAACCGCAGTACCGCCTGGTGTAAGAACAGGAGGTGGTATAGTAGACTCTGTCAGAGGTTGCGCAGCGAGACTGGCTCTTAGATGAGGAAGCGGCACTGGAGTCTCCGTCTTGGTGCGCTTTGGAGCGGGACGAGGCGCTGGTGTCTCAACTGGCGGTTGCTCAGGCTTCTCGGCCTCAGCCTCTGGGATAGAATCTCTCTTCCGCTTGTTGCCGTTGGGTTTTGGCTTCGCTGGAGTCTTCGCTTTGCTTGCGCCTTTCGGCTGGTCTGCAGTTGTGTTGGTTGTAGTATTATTTGCCGTTGAGGGCGTGGTAGTATTGTTGTTGTTGGTGGTGGGGGTGGTGTTTGTGTTGTTCGCGGCCGATGATGACGATGCTTCATGAGACATCAAAAGTCTTGCAGCTTCCCTAAACTGTCTAGCTGATTCTTCCGCCTCTTCTGCAGCCTGTTTAGCCAGTGACTCTCGCTTAAGCTTCTTGGCCTCGTTGAGCTTCATGCCTCGATTGCTCAGCTGAATATCATCAGACGCAAGCGCAGCGGCACTAATGGCACCTTCCGGAATTGGTTTGTTACCAGCTTCAGCATCAGGGGCCAGAGCCGCAGGCACCTGGTCAAAAACTCTGCCCTCGTCCTCGGCCTTCTTTTTTGCCTCCTTGTAGGCATCAATGCCACGGCCGAGCGTCTTGAGTTCTCGCAAAATCATGGTATCACTAGGACTCCATGTTGCATTCTTCTTCATCCGCTTTCTAAGCCTCGCAAGTTCCCATGGCGTCAGTTGCAACCAGGGGGCATCCGCACTTCCTATCACGGCGTTCTCTGGCGGAGGTTGCAGCACAACAGCAGGAGTTGCCGCAGAAGCCAGGCCCGCAGCAGATTTGGGAGGCCGCGCCGAGGACGCAGCCTTTGGGGTCTTTGGTGGCCTCGCCTTGGGGGTCTTGACAACTTTGATGCGCGGTGCTGGTGTTGTGCGAGCTGGCGTCCGTCCCAAAGAATCATCATCTTCCTCTTCAGAGCTCTCATCACTGTCGTCCGAGTACGCCACAAACTGGTCGTATGGCGGTAGTACTTCGCCGGGCACAGTAATCCTGGGTATCCGTGGTCTGCGCACCTTCTCGCCATCTCCATTTCGCATCACCCGTGGCGCTCTGACAAGCTGAGATTTGGAGGTCGCCACGGGGCTCTTTTGTTCCTCTGCCGGATAGTTTTCCAGCAGGTTCTTCAACTTGGCCAGTATGGTGTTTGCGCGATTATAGTGGCGGTTGACGTTCTCAGACATGCGAACTGCCTCAGCATGCGCGTAAACCCGGGAGCTGACTGCATGGTTCAGGCTGTCGGAAATGTCTGCACGCAACTGTACGGGAGACGGACGCTCCTCAGCGGGAATGCTGGGTAGCTTTCCCCAGGTCGAGGTGAGGTTGTGGACGTTGATTGACGCTTCGGTGTATGTTTGGTCGAGCTTGCCGATCAGAGTTAGTGATCGCGTCATATCGGAAGGAAGGTATTCGGTAAAGTCGAGGAAGTCGGTGACTGTAGCTTGCGCGTCTGGATCGGCGCGCATCTCGAGTGACTCGACGGAGTTGCTGATGGAACCGAGCGACTGGTGTATATCGTGTTCGACCGAGGTCCTGTTTTTGGGCGACACCTCAATGTCCATGGCGTCTGCGCCCTCCTCGGTAGAGGCCATTTCGTCGGAAGGGGTGCAATGAGAGTATATTCCGTCAGCCTGAAAAGCGGCGCATCAATCACTTTGGATGCATTTGACACCGGAGAATCGATGGTGGCTGTTGGGCGTGTTGCGAAGTACAGTTGCGCATGCTTGTGATGAGGTTGCGGGTCGCGTATGCAAGGGGAGTCGCGACCTGATGTGATGTTCGGTTTAGCTCTGTGAGCTCCCTGCCGCTAGGGACCTTGGGGCAGCTGCGATGGGGCCGGCGGGGCTTCCAACGTCCACTGACAGATGCGCTGGCCAATTGGTACTCTTCAAGTCCGTGCACGGCCGGGGCATGTCTGCCGCGGATTATTCAACTTCCGAATTCACGGAGAACCCTTGGGTACGTACCTTTGCTTTGCGTAATTTATTCTATTCCGTGGTACCTTCGAAAGCATCAGTACATCCGTGTCCAGTCTTTCTTGAACTTCGACTTTGTTTCGGAACTATTCATTAGTGAATATAAGGAAGACAGGTCGGGGATATTTTATAATTTATTGTGACTTTCACGAAAGCACCTACAGATATATAAATTGATACCAATCTATTGTTGATAGGATACCACATGTTCGCACCTCTTCGGCCTGACAAGGCATTCGGCATGGCTGGCACTCAGTAGGACGAGTCCAACACATGTAACGCCTCTCACGACTACCATTGTCTAGGTATCTATCGTACTTATGAACTCTCTTTTGCCGTTCCGATGCTACTTCCCATTATGTACTCTTCCCTGAAGAGGCGGAATTTCCGCTTCGGAGAAATGGCGCTGGCCTTGATCGCCATATCAACTATGATGATGAACCGCTAAGAACTGCTTGAGATATGGATGCGGAGCATATTATATCAGATCTGTTTCTATCATGTCCAACTCAAAGAATCTGTTTTATTCAAGGGAAAGCAAGCCTATGTCAGCTGGCATCAGAACAAACCGCCTTCATACGAACCTAGCTTCCATCTGTGGGTAAATTCCCTGTACCCTTTTCCATGTCAGCTCTCTGGACCTTGAAAAGGCGTACTTAGTCTGAGATTGTGCGCCATCTGCTGTCACACCAGCTCCGGGCTGCAGTCTATCGATTTGCTCACAGATCAGATGTTCTTTTCGGGGATCTGGGGTGTGGGCGGTCACTCTCAAATCTGTCCCCCTTCGAAAGTCGAGGCATACCAAAGCGTGCCATTTGGCCGTGACGACCTTCAACATTGTCAACCCGCTAATTAAGAGCGTTGACGAGCTGATAGGCCTATCGATCGAAAACCCTTCGGTAGACCTTCTGAGGAAAGCTGCGTTGTAGGGGGCCCTGATGTTCAGTACACTGCCCCGTCGTTCATCATGCAAGAGTTTAGCGATTATGAGCTGCCCGTCTATCCTAGTCACCGACTGTAGTTCAGATACTGAGCAGCAGCGAACCCGCCTCCGGAGAAAGTCGTTCCATGCCCATTCCTTTACCTTCATGCTCTTTCCGACCAAGACAATAAAGCAGCAACGACCCAAAGGTAGGTCGCCAGGTTCGAGGGATCAACACCATTGATCCGTTGGCCGACACTGAATCCAATGCCCAAGCCGCCTGCTGCAAAAAATACGGCTGTAAAAATTACGCCCCAGACGTATCCTGGGCATGGCACCGTTACGCACGTTTCATCGACAACCCACTCATCCATATACTCTGTCAGCTTCTCAGGCTCATTAAGTCGATGCGTTGCATCATGTTATTCTCTCGGCGGAGGGCGTGAGCGCAGCCCTAACCCGGACCGCGAGAAAAATCCACGGTCCAGAGCGTCGGAAAGATGCAGAACGTCCGGCCTCTTCATACTGGCGAAGTCACTGGTGTACATGCGGAAGAAGGCCCCGAACTTGCCTTCCGCGAGCGGCTGGACGTCATCTTGGATGAAGCCTGTCAGAGCCATGACGTGTCGGAAGCTGGCGAAGTCCGACAAGAAGACCGGGCAAGTCATAACCAGAGGTACCATCACAGTTATGGCCTCGTCCACGGAGTTGAGTTGTAGACGTTGGCTGTAGCCTACAAGATCGATATCGACCTGACCCGACCGATTGTCTTCATCTCCAGAGTATCTCCATTGTAAAGTCTTCTTCAAGCCGTTGGTGTATGCTTCATGCTCACGGCTTTGATGCTTGAGATGTATGACTATCTGGTTGAGAATATTGAATGCTGAGTGTGCAGTGTTCATATCATCGAGGTCCGATGTTGCCGAACACTCAAGATCTCTATGTTGGAAAAGAAGCGCCTGTGATAGATGGTTCAGAATCGGGGAAACGGAAAGATTTCGAGCGAGTGTACTACGTACCTTGAAACCTTCGAACCCCGTCTAATATGCTACGGCACATATTTGAAATGCCCTTGCCGGTAGACCGGAACGGTTGATGAATCGCATGGACATCAACACATGCCTTAAAGCTGAGCTGAGCCCAAATCGAAACTTATTCTGCTGGACGCAATGAGACGCGACCAGTTTGTCCTCGTACGACGCGGTACCGTTCCTCTCATTTGCCTTAACCATTCGCATGTACTCTTCACACTCCTTCTCCTCGTCCATTTCGCCTTTGGGCGGCTTCTCGAAGTGCTTGCTTGCCTCCTTCTTTGTGATTGTTGTCGAGTTGAGCAAATAAGATGCAGTTTCAAATTACTCCTGCTATCATTGAGGATGTAATTACTTATGTGACGAGTGAGTGCGTTACAAGCCCAAGCTCGAAGGGGTTACCGTCTTACTGCCGCTCTCTTACCCCACGCTATTAATCAGCAGGAGAAACTGCGAGAAACCATGTAAGTAAAACAAACAAACCACAACAAAACAGTGCAAAAAAAAGAAAGAAAAAATAAAAATAAGCCAACGACGTGAACCCTTGAAAGTAGCATTAGAGTGTATTTGTTTAACACGTTGTGGAAATAGCAAAAGAAGATGATCGCGGGCGCGATCTCCCGAATTACTGTGGACGATCAGGGGATTGAACCCTGGGCCTCCCGCAGACGCTGAAGGGATGCAAAGCGGGCGCTCTACCACTGAGCTAAACGCCCCGGGTATTAGATGATGTTCAGGTTCCGGCTAGAACCTAAGTTCGGCTGGGAAGGTTTCAGTGGAGTGCCTGGGTGGTTCGTTAGTGGGGTTATGGTCTCATTGTTGCCATGTAAATGGGTACCTAGTAAAATGGCGTGCCCGCCAGTGCACTAACAAGCTAAAGTATGTTCTATCGTCTCTGGCCTTATCACCACTTCACTATACCTTCATACATTTCTAAATGTGTACTATCTATAGAATAAGTGTAAGAGAAAAGAGAAAAGAAACAGTCATACCGATGATACTAATTAGAGTCGTAGAGATCTAGACAAGTCAAACAGAAAATCATTCTGTCACCCACTCGCTGTGATACTACCCCATCCCCAGGTCAAAATAGGGTTTAATAACGGTCAAGAGGAAGCCCGGTGTCTTCATTGGCGCGCAAGCACGAGCAGGAAAGTTTAATCGTTAAAAATCCAATCCGGATTTGCATTTCTATAATAAGAAAAAATGCCTCCCAAGCTGTGTTTCCCACCAATGCCGCCATTCCAAGTTAACGCCAACACCAAACGCCGTCTCATAAAACGCCCAACGACAAGCTTACACCCTGACGCCCGTACCACCGTTTCGAGGCATCTGAGACCTCTCAATCAGCTTTCAGGCTGACCTCATTGCATCCCTTTCTGTAAGTGCGTCAAGTAACACAGCCTCACCAACTCGTATCTTCCTCGCGACTTATAATCGCTCCCCAAATCTTCTCTTCTTCTTCAACGTGGTAGCCCGAATTTGGACCCACGATTGTGAGGGACCCATACAAGATCATTTTCTTGCATTTCCTACAACGCAAGGTCAGAACCTACGCCTCTCGGAGCAAGGTGTATCAACTTACAAGAACCCATGTATCGTGGTGTTCCCATATATCTCGAGGTCATTAACCTCACACGTCCCCATGACCCTCAACTTCCCAAAGCCTTTGACCTTATCACTGCCATAACATACATCAGCGCCGTCTTCTCTCGATTACTGCGGCATATTAAACACAAACTTACCCGATAGACATGTACCCCACCACTGAAATGTTGCCATACGCTTTCATCTTCCCACTATTCACGTCATGATATCAGCATACGGCCCCTGTCTGTGTAGGTTCATTCTCCAAGAAGGATATGAGTACTCACTCGCAGACCAAATTCCCATTTACATCGACCGCCCCATACGCCTCAACCTTATCCCTCACATCAAAGTTCCCATTCAGCGTGATGTTGCCCCCAGCTTTCACAGAACCAGCGACCTCGAGCGGGCCCTGTAACACAATCTCGCCCTCGCTCCGGATCGACTTGGACTGGACGACAGCCGTGGTCGTCCCCGCTGCCGCCGCCGCACCGGGCGTCTCGTCATACTCCGTCAGAGGACTAGGTCCGGTCGTAGCCGTGGTCGACGAGGAGGCATAGTAACTCCCCGTCGTGCCAGCGGGAGAAACCTCGTCGTAGTATTCGTATTGAGCGGCTGTAGTAACAGCAGCGGCGGATTCCTTGCCCTTCCTCGACGACTGCTTGGACTTGGGAGCCATTGGTCCGTCTTATATCTCAGTGAAAAGGGACTCTAAAAAGCCCAAAAATATGACTGTGAATGGTCTCCACTGAGGGGGATATGTGAAAATAACTCTCAAGCTCGGCACTAACCAAACCAAAAGCCATATATACTCCCGAGAAAAATGGGCGGTCTGTTGAAGATCATATATCTCCAGAACAGCAAGAAAGCTGCCCCAACTTCTCCGTACCTGCCTGACCTCTTCGACTGGATCAACCACCGCCATGCTTCGTCCGCCCGACACGCTGGGCAGAATTGCCCACCGGAGACAAGCAAAGAAACGAGACCAGCCTCAGCCGCTCGCTCCATGAACAAAAATCGAAACATTACTTTCCCAATCAAGAGTCCGACCGGAACAAGCTGAAAGAAAACTGCAAGTATGAGTTCCTGCCCCCCGGTCCACCACCGTCACTCAAAGATGAAGAATTGCGGGCGATACGAGTCTGTCTACGAAGATGTTCCCCCGCGTGTGTGCCTGAACACCCAGTCTCCCCTCCTTTTCGCCCTACATCGGCAAACTCCATCTTCCGTGCCTCCCACCTACCCCCTGCTCAAAAAGTGATATAATCCCAAGAGCTGATTTACTGATCGTCGTTTTCCTGGTAAATCCCCAGTCCCGGAGTTTCCACCCCCCCCCCCCCCACACCCATGACCCGAACAGCCGCGTTCAACTGCGCACGGCATAGTAGTCAGGTAGGTAGGTGCAATATTTCCCAAATGTCTTTTGACGTCGTCTTCCTGGCGCGGCAGCCTAAACCCCGTCCATTGCCCAGCCGTCTCAGCACACACAATGTTGATGATTCATTGCCTGTTTGCCCCAGCTGGCCAGCATCCAGCTTCCAGCTCCAGCCGCAATGCTACGGTACATGGAATGTCCCCTACGCGCAACGAAAAAGATCTGACCTGCCTGCCGCCCTGCCGCCCTGCCGCCCTGCGTCCGCAAAGCAAATCCGACCGCAAGCCCTGATCTACCTCACCTAGGCGCGGCGTGCAGCAGTGGCAGCAGCAGCCTCAATGGCATGTACAAAATCCATATTACGTGCAGATACAATTTGCCGCAGGCGAGCAAGCGATTGGCTTCGCAAGGTAGCCGAGAAAGGACAAAGAAAAAACAGGTAAAAAGACCTCAATGTCCCATGTCTCATTTGAATCCCGTACCGTTTGCCCATTCCTCTCTCCTCGTCTCCGATAAGAAAAAGCAAAAAGCCAAAGTGACCGAAAACTGCCTTGGGAATACTCCATGCCTATCCAGGTACCTACCTCTTGCGCCGCTCTCTGCTCGAGGCTTGCGTATTGTTTGTCTGACAAAGGAAGCTGCGGTGGTGTCTCCACACGTTTTGAGCCGTATGTGTACATGCAAGGGAAACTATGCGGGCAGCTGCAAGGTTGGGGTAGCTCCCAAGGTAGTAGTCATTGCGTTGAACGTCGGATACCAAGCAGGATGTATCTCCGGTACTTCGCTTTTCACGTATTTCCTCTTTTCCCAACTGCACATGTTCTTCAACAATCCATCTAATAATCCATAACTGACACTCGTTGTAGAGTTTTGCACTCGTTCTAATTAAATCATGACCTCAATCGTGGTATGTTTGTATCATGATATTATCTTGCTATGATAGCTAACAAATTCGATTGAAGGTACGCCGTTTATGGGCACCAGTCATCAAGATGGCAGCCCCCCCCCTCCGACAATTCTCGTCGACTATAGCGCGCAATCAAAGATACAAACTGAGCAGAGCATATATCAATCAAATTACGAACAAGCAAAAGATGAACGACCAGTCACTGAAACGCGTGCTTATAGCATTACAAAACCAAGCGACTATACTAGAAACACTCGTCAAGTCATTTCGTACTAGCAATCGGAACATGATTACAACGCTAATCCAAACAAGCACCGACAACCAAAAGTACTGGGATCAAACAATGAGGATCATGACACAACGCAACAATGAAATCACTAAAAAGCTTGATACGGTCATTACGAAATTGGACACCGTGGTGGATTTGTCAACCCCGAGCATCTGGAAGCGTTTGGGCATGTAGATCAGTCCTGTCACGAAGGTAACTACTTCTTATCTTGTTCTAAATATGTTACTAACATTTATTCTAGGTGGTGATTTCTGCCGGCTAGATTCCGTTCATCATCGCACAAATCCGAAACCGGACGATTACGTCTGACGACTCGCCCACCGATTCGGATAGCGAATGTGAACCCTATGAGAGCAACACGACAATAAACACACTAAGCAACGAAGCGGAATCGATGCTGGCGAAGTTTGGAAGCGTATTTGAGTAATAAAGTATCAAGTAATAAACAAGTTTACCTTCTTTCAATCAGCCGTCAGGCTAAGCTCGTCCTGGTTAGAGGTGTGTTGTGTACTCCATAAGGGGTCACGAGTGTAGAACGTATGCATGCCATATTTAGGCAAAAGTGAACAATCGCGAAAATCATCACGTCACTGATTCTCTCCCTGCGATATTGGCTTGAGTATGTTGTCTTGACAAAGGTCTCGGCCCGGGTAACTTCAGTATCACGGGCGAATTCGAAGCTGCCAGACAGATAAGACGCACGGAGAACAGGAAGACCAAAAACGATGTATACACTACTCGAGACATAGACAAAGAAAAGAGACGACGCAAGATAAGATTGGTATACATCGACTTGGATGGATCACTGGGCAAGGCAGCTTCAGCAACAACCTTTTGATGTGCATCATCGCCCCTCCAAGCAAGCAACTCCCCTTCCTTTCCAAAGCTGCGCAAAGTTTCCCGAATAGCAACACAAAAAAGAAAGAGACCACCCTTGGCCTCGAAAAGCCCCAAAACTCCTCTTCTTAGACAGTCAGCATCCGCTGTCCGCCTCGCCAAGGTAGAATTTGCCTTGGTCACGAGGCAAAGCAAGGTACACATCCCCCAATCCCCGCTCATGAGTCTCCACCACCGACGAATGCAAGACCGATACCGGTGAAGAATGCCGCGGCTACCCAGGCGCCGGAGTAAGCAGTCGCACCATACGACTCGACGCCGTTGACGGTCATGAAAGTCTGCAGGTAGGTGTTGACACCCGTGACGATCATGGCGACCGCGGTTCGCAGGATGACAACCTTCGCCCGCGTCGTGTAGCCCCAAATGTTCCACGCCAGAGTCTCGCCAAGCGTGGCCGTCGCAGGGTCGAATTCGGCCAGCTTCTCGTCCTCGGAAGTCTCGCCAGTCGCGACAAAGGGCGTGAAGATGAAGGACTTTGCTGCAGCGCCAAACGCAACTGTCACGGGCAACGTAGCCAGGAAGTTGGTGGTGTAGGCGGGCGCAAGGCTCGGCAGCCCCTGGAAGTAGACCACGAGGGTGGTGGGCAGGTAGGTCTTGTAAGCAGTAAACAGGGTGAGGCTGTAAATGGCTGCCGACAGGATAGTGGTGTAGATCTGGATCGGGATGTCGGTGAGAATCTCGCGGTTGGCGACATTCTTAGCGCCGGCATGCGCGCCCGACAAAGGCCTCAGAAGTTGGAAGGGCAGGAAGGTAGACAGCATCTCAATGCCCAGAGCCGAGATGGCGGTGGCGGTGCTGATGTTGTAGAAGGTAGCGATAAGGTAAACCTAGACGCAAAATGCATGTTAGCAAAAGCTGCAGTTGACTGTCCCAAGCCTGGCGTCATCATCATTCCTCGTCGGAGCACAACGTACCGGCGGACCATGCGCGAGCAGGTTGAGCGCAGCGAGATCGTAGCTATCAAAGTTGCCGAACCAGCCAAGGGCAAGCTCGAATCTACACGAGATCGCGATTGTCAGCAAAGATACCTTTTCCTGCCCGGTCCTCGAGCGATCCTCCCAGAAACATCATCTCTGTGATTCCCAAGGTGACTCACATGCGCCATCCAGCCAAAGTTGCAACCTCGCCCCAGGTGTCCAAGCTCTTTGAGATCCCGGCCAGCTCTCCACGGCTCCACTCGCTGAGAAAGCTGTAGCACAGACTTGAGATGCTGAAGCTCAACACCGTAACAAGCGGGAACTGCAGCGCTTTCGGGAGGTGCGATCGCTGCTTCCGCGGGTGCTGGTGATCGCGATCTCTCTTGCTAATTTGGAGTGCCTCTGTCTCTTTTGCTTCCGCTACCTCTGTCGCGTCGTTGACAACAGCTAGAGCTTCGATTGTGCCGTCAGGCGCGGTATCGAGCCTCTCGAGGTGGCTTGCGATGGGTTCGATCGCGTTGGACGTCGTTTCGTCGACCTCGGGCTCCTCGACGGGGCGCGATGCCTCTCTTCTGCGTCTTAACGTGGGCATCTTGGGTATACTGTGCTTGCGCGTGTATTGATTGAAGAGACAACGTGTCACGTTCGTAGCGAAGAACCTCGAATTCGGGATTGGCGATGCGCGCTGCAGACGCAAGAGAGGGGTAGAGCGAGAAAAAAGAAGGTAGTGAGGCTGTGGGAGAAATGAGCAGCAGCAGCCGTTTGCGATGTGCGGTTTGCGACACGATGAGATCAACGAGGGCAAAGAGGAAAGAAAAAGTGAGACCTGTACGTTTTTTTCCGCCCAGGGCAGCTGCTGTGGATTGTGGACAGTGGCCTACCTATGATGCCGAGTGGAGAAAGAAGCTGTCCGGACGGGTAAAGGTGACGTCGCTGGGGTAACAGCAACTCGCGGAAGGTGGTGAGGTAAGCTGTGTGGTCTAATAGTGGGCAAAACACAACCGGAAAGAGCCAGCAACGGGTCCTCCTTCTCTCAACTCTCGAGTCCTACTGCGGTCTTTACCTTCCTTCCCCACACCGCCGGCCACCAAACAACCGCCGCCGTGCCTCAGCAGCCCGCCCAGCGAAGCGGGAAAACTCCACTGTGAGCGGGCTCCCAAGGATAGATATTTTCTACTGGCTCCGTCCATGATCCGTAATTGCAGACTTTTTCCTCCATCGTTTTTTCCCTCTTCTTTCCCTCTCTTTGTTTTCATTTTATTTTTTTCGAATCGAATTTCTCCATCATCCCCTTCCGCTCTAGAGATATTTAATACATGCGCGAACCTCCACCCCCCAAAGCTTTCCAAGCCTTGGGAAGGAGGATGCTATCTGTACTCTTGTCAAAAATTGGCCTTACCTTACCTTTGCCTCCCCGTCTGCTTTGCTTGGTGTCTGTCTTGTCTGTGTGATCTTCAAAGCTTGATGAGCTCACATGCAAATCTTCGCCTTTCGGGAGCAAAGCTCCGGGTGGTTAAGGTTGCTGCTGGCGTTCCAACACACCAACCACCATCCAGCTTGCCTCGTCACTTCAGCCATCATCGTTGGTAAACATTAGCCACGCTCCAAGCCCAAGTGCCTCGTCGCGATCAAGAGTTCTCTTATTCATCCAGACAAGAGGTCACACAGGTCACCACCGGCGAATGTCAACCAGGATCTTTTTTTTTGAACTTTTTTATCTATTTCATTTCATTTCGTTATGCTGGTTCCATACCGAACACTGAGCGTCGCGGCCAATCTGGGGGCATCGCACTCGTTTGTCTCGTCAGAACCATCAGCGTGACAGCTTTGGGCATTCGCTCGACGCCATCTCCGTCTCTCACTTTAACCTCGTGGAGTTGCAATCTCGATCCCATCCTATCGACCTGCCTTGCTGGGCCAGATCATGATGCAAGACCGGGCCCTCCACTCCTTGGTGCTGAGAGATCGGCGGCGGAGACAGAACCACCTCATTTACAGGGTTTAGTATATGGTGGTACAAAAGAAACACATCCTCCCCTCATTTTCCCTCTTCGTTATGTACTCATCTCCTCAGATATCGTCGGCATCAATCGTGGAACGGAGTTTCGCTATTCCTCCATACGTCCGAAGACGCCGTCGTCATCTTCGTCGCTTCGAGATCGAGATCGGCGGTCAAAGTCATCATCGTCCATCACGCTATCGCTGTCTTCCATCTTGACATCGGAGCCGCGGACCTCGCCTCGTGTGAAGCTCTCTGGCTGCCTGCTAGGGAAGCTGTTGAGGAACCCCGCACTGAAACCTGCGCTGAACCCAGCACTCGAGAAGGATGCCGCCTGGTCGAGATATTGCGCCGGTAGCGGGGGCACAGGAGGAGCGTCTGCTGGAAGCTGCACTGTTCTTCCGTTGTTGCTGTTGAAGCTGCAACTAAGAAGCTCCACAGCGGCTGCCAGGTCCTGATCTTCTTGTCCGGTGGCATTTCTCCCTGACGACGGCGGTCGTTGATCCTGGCTGGGTTGACGGAAGTGTGAAGAAAATCCCGTTCCATGGGGCATGCTGCCTGTCACGAGAGGGTTCATGGACGGCGCAGACTGGTATGAACGACCGAATCCGCTTCCGGACCCGTACCGCTTCGCGAACGAACGATCCGACGACGAAAATCCCTCCAATTGTGGAGGTGGGGTGGTGTCGGCAGAGCTGTGTCGCTCGTCTGAATATCCAGAAGCAGCGGGGGAAGTCGACTCTTCTTGGTCACTAGGGAAATCCTTGGCGGAATCCGGGGGCGTCGCCGCATCACCCTCTTCCTTGTGGTTCATGGTCAACAAGACAGAGGCAGCCTCAAGGAGCTGGACTTGCTGATGCTTAGAAATAAGCAGCTTGGATGTCAGGGACCATTCGGGAGTGTGTTCCCACCTGATCAGAAATGAGTCAACAAACTGCTCGACTAGTTCTGATGTTGGGAACCCAGCATGCAATTCTCGAAACCCACGCAACAAGGTTTGGGATGGAATGAGGGAATTGGGAAAGGGAAGGGAAACGAACAAATGCTTGGTCAGGCAACTGCTGTGCTTGTATCCCTTTCCGCACGTCTCGCACTTGAGCTCGATGCGGTTGAACTTCCTGCCCTCCTTTACGAGAGGCTGACCATCGCTGGCGCGACGAATACGAGCCTTTTGAGCATTATCATCGCCTTCGTCGGCTGACCCGTTGACTGGGTCATCCTCAATGGCGCTCTCGTGGATCTCTGTCTTTCCATCCAAGTGGAATTTGTGCGTCGGCAGACTCGCTGGAGGCGAGGGAAGACTCCCGATGATGGCGGCGCGGGCTGCAGCACTCTTTGAGGCAGTGTTCCTACGGGAGCTGACGGCAATGGGCGTGACTTTGTCGCCGCTCACTTCCTTGATTGCCGCTGCCATGGCCGCCGCGTTCGCGGCGGTGTTTGTCATGGACTTGCGGCGAGTCACACGGTGGTTGGCATTGAGAGCGCCGCTGAGGATGGAATGTGAGTTGGTGCGAGAGTGGGATTGTCGCGTGGTAAGGCCGGAAGAGGAAGCAGTTGATAGAGAGGGACGGTGTTGGTTCAATGGCCTTGTGGTCTGCTGCATTTCCTGAACGAGGACGAAGTGATCAGCAAGACTGGGTTGAGATGCGTGTTGGGAGCGAGCTAAGCAGGGCAGGGCATGGGTTGGAATCCCGATTCCGGGCATACCTTTGAAGAGGCCATTGCCAACTACCGATGCTAAACAGGTTCGACAACGAGTGTCGAACACTTTGTCCCTGGCTAGAGTATTGTGAAAGTGAAGTGATTCGTAGACGCGGCGGTATCGTGTGTTGTTGTTCGACGGTGGTAGGCAGATGGACAGGTAGAAAATGAGTCGCGAAGACAAGCCTCCGGGCGAGAAATAATATTATTTTGGGGAGGAGCAGCAATTCGGCAGGGGTGTGTCTGTGGGCGGGTGTACCTAGTAGCTCCGAGCTGGACCAGCCGACAGCATGTGGTGAGTGTAGTGGTGGTGGTGGTGGTGGTGTTTGAACGGTCAGGATGCCTTGGGGTTAGTCGACTGATGATCAACAGGGCTGTCGAGGTCCAGGCCGGATTGAACTTTTTTCTCTCTCTTTACCCTTCCGCTTCAATGCTGTGCTTTGAATCGAGGTGTAGCTGAAGTGAGAGAGAAAAAGTTGTGGGCTCGAGACAGAGTACGTTTGGAAGAGGATCCAAAAAGTCCAGCAATGGGCGAAACAGTCCAGACGGCCCTTTCCAACAAGTTGCCAGAAAGAAATGGAAGAGAAGCGCTGGTCGGGGACGAGCATTAGCCTTCATTGGTCGTATTGCACCACCAGGTCGCTAGGATGAAGGAGCCAGAAGGAGGAGGGAGGGGAGGGGCAGAAGACCGTACCGCAGCAGGAGGGAGGACCAGACTCACACACTCACGACACTCCCCCTCACACCTTGAACTCGCAGAGCGCAGAGAGCGACGACGCTGGGCGGGAAAGAATGAGAAAGCGGCAGAGGAGAGAGAAAGAAGAGAGGATGGGTGGGGCTGGGTGTGTGCTGAGAGAGGGAAAGGGGGTGCAGACTTTGGCGTTGGAAGTGAGGGTGAGGTGCGCGGCTGGGTTCATGGACGAGGGAAGGGGACTGACTGGCTGGCTGGCCCTCTCTCTCTCCGTCTCTCTCCCTCTTTCTCTCTGCATCGCCGTCTCTGCTGTAGGTATCTTTCCACCTCCACTCCTTTCTTGTCCCCTTCCCCGTGTCCCACAGTGTGCAACCGGGTCAAGGTACGCTGGCATGTACCTCTCAGGTGGTGGGAGGTGCAAGTGGACATGACCGTGAGCGCAGCGGACGGGCGCCAGGAACAAGGAGCATAGAGCATGGCCCGTGGTCGTCCTTTGGCAATGGGCGAGCGATGGTCGGCCTCCCGAGCGATGGACGTGTCCGTAAGGCGCCGGTGCGGCGGGGAAAGGTCACTGGGGGAGGGGTGAACGGAGCCCATGGATCCATCCCAGTAACCCATAACCCTCGTCCTTCGTCCCAGAGCCCAGACCCATTGATGGCCAGGGCCGATAGCGTGCTTGAGTTGCACATCGTAAATAGCAATTTTATGTATGGCACTTTTATTCTCGACTCTTGAGTGCTCGCAGATGTCGTTGCCGCTCGTCGGTTGTTCACGATGCTCTCTGAAGTTGGATCATCCGGATTCTCAAAATAAGCGCGGACATGACGATATACGGTGGATGTGTGTGTGATATGGGAGTATTTCTGCCCCAGGATCTATGCCAAACGACTAAGCCAACAAGAGAGACGCTCAAAGAAACGCGGCCTTTGTTGGTAAACGCCTCGCCCGTACACCAACACAGGTGGACTCGTGCCTTGGTCCCTAGCTGAGGTAGACCAGGGTGGCTTAGTTTGGCTCGAGTGCCTAATTATTTCTCTGATTGTCTGGTGCCCTTGATCCCGTACGGATACTTCGTAGTCGTCTGAAGACTTGTCGGGACCTTGCTAGTCTGGTGACCGCTAAATTTTTTTTTATTTTTATTTTTTCTGCTTCTCTCCTTCTTGGGGTCTTCTGTTCGCGAGGTAACGATGTGGAATGATTGAGACAACATACAGGCTCCAATGAGTTGTAAAGAATGTCGTGTCTTGGTCGGAAGCGAGAGGCCTATCGACCGCAAGTGGCATGTTTCGGCGGATTGCCAGGTTCAGCGTTGGGTCGCACCCCACGACGGCTCTGCTCCCCTAACGCGGTGGCTCCATCGAGGGAGGCAGGCGGGAGGACAGGCGACTGCTCCCGGGCCATAAAGCTCGAGGCTGGAGCAGTGAGCATCAGGTTGGGGCGTTGGGGCATAGGGCGGAGAGAAAGAGAGAGAAAGAGCATTGGCCGCGTCTGGTCTCGTTTAACTGGAGAAGGTGGTTTCCATCGGATCAGGAACGGAAGTTCGCACGCGGGGGAGAGGGCAGTAGCTTTGCATTGCTGCTATGCCAGGTCATGCCAAAGTCGTGTTGTGCGAGCTTCAAGGTTGTGAGCTGTGCGCAATGCGCTGTGCGTTGGTCGAATGAGCGAGACCGTGAGGGGGTTGTCAACGGCAGAAACCCAAGCTTGGGAAGCACTGCGCGAGAACCTTAGTACGTGATACTCCGTAGGTAGTGAGTGTCTATGGTAAGCTGCAAAAGTGGGAAGAAGCAAGGAGGCAAGGTACGGAGTAGGCATTGCGCAAAAAGGCATGGGAAAGATGTCTTATTGAAACTCGGGTGGATGCCTCCTAGTGTTTCTGCAATTGCCGACTTGTGTGCCTTGGCTGTGATTTGGCACTTTGGTTTGAGCACTCTGTGCTTCACAACCGTTGTTTCGCTTTCTTCTTTCTTCGAAAAAGGCGACGTTATCGTAAACCTGTTGTTTCTTGATTGGATCTGCATGGCTACCGGTAGTCGGCTCAGAGAAGTGCAAGGAGCAAGGAGTCTCGAGTAATAGCAAGTACAGATACAAGAGATACGGGAAAAGAAATGATGAAGAATCCGAAATAAAGAAAATCCCCGATGGACGGTTCTGCTGATCGTTGATCACACGGAAGCCAAGCAGGAGACAGCTCTTCGACGGCGTTGTTGGGTTGACAAGTCGTTGGGTGCGAGGCAGGTACGAACTTCCCTCCTGTTGGTGCTGAGAAACAACGCAGGTACACAGTGCAGGCTCGGCAGGCGCTACCTTAGGTAAGCACCATCCAATCCCCGGGCAAGGGAAGGTACGTATTTCCATGTACTCCTTGGACAGTGACAACTCATCGCACACTGTCTGACTGTCTGCACAATTCTGTGACAAATACACAGTGGGGACAGTGCCCTGGTCAGTCACGTTCCTGGGGAAGTCCCAATCCACCCGTATCTCAACCAGTGACGTAGTTTGCTCCGAGCGCGGACCAAGCATGAGTTCAATTCTTTGTCAACTCAGGGGCAACAGCTGCGGCTTCCATCCGGAGAAGGACGTAGAGGGTCACGGCCAAAGCAGATGGGAAACGACAGGCAGAACATCGGACAAACAAAGCCCTACACCGTGTGCCGTTCAAGCTCTCGTGTCCGTTTTGGAGACGTGCTACAACCATCAACGGATTGCGACGATGGAGAGCCACCACGAGTCCACCACCACCACCACTACGGGCTACCGTACTCCGTACTTTACCACACATAGTAGGTTGACGATAACACCACCCCCATCCCCTGTCCACTCTTCCCTTCCCCCTCTCGCACTCCTTGTCTTCTTCGTCCTCTTTCATTCTGCTCCACACTAACCAGACACCCCAGCGAAACGTCCTCCCAATCATCCGCCCCAGAGGCGGACATCACAACCACACGCCTGGGGCTTCCCCACCACCAGCTTACCTCCTCCACCACTTTCTGACCAGATACCGGTACAGGCCCCTCCTAGTGACCACTAATCACAGGACTTGTTCGCTGAGACGGTCGGTCTACCTGGCCTGAAGTTGACTGAGGCGGCATTGGAGCAACGCGAACCCGATCAAACAACTTTACTTTCCGGCCCGGCCTACTACGCTGTCCTCAGTACGGAACCAGCAGTTTACCCTTCGCCGTCGGCCGTCTCTTCACAGCTCTCTTGCTCTCCAGACCTCCCGCTGACCGGCAATCCGCTGGAATCTGATAGAGTCCAGCTGTTGGCCAGGATATCGATCAGACGGTCAGTCCTGGGTCCGGTCTCGTCTCCGTCTCCCTCACGCCGTGCTAGGGGGCCGCCATTGCCATTCGGGACGGTCAGCTGGCCCCCTCCCCTCCTCCATCGGGCGCCATGCGGGCTTCTGCTCTGGGCAAGTCGGGTGGATTCTCGTGCCTCTGGCGGAACGTCGTCCACCCCGTCATTATTGCGCTCCCCGACGCAGACCATCGCTTATGCTGCCTCTGACCGGCCAGAATCAGAATGGGATGCCTTTGCCACTTGACACTATTGTTTCCTGGATGCCATCGCTCAGCCTGGGCTAGGCATTGGTAACGCAGTCCCAAGATCGTCAGCGGAGATGTCCTCCAACATCAATCTACTCGCCAATGTCCGGAGATGGCCAAGCCACACCGCACGCGAGAAAGACACGACGCACGCTCTGCCCGAATCTTGGACAGAGCCAACCTCGCCTTCATAGGCATTACCTAAGTTCACTATGCAACTGGTACGTCACTGGGCGCAGCTGTTCAAGCCCAGACCTGGGTGACCAGAGTTTCAGTCACCAAAAGTGACGCTTTGAACGCATGCAAAATGTCTTCTCGGTTTCTGCCGTTGGTACCTATGCCTCCGGTCTTTCCCCAACGTCGACGCTCTTGTCTCAGGAAAAAAAAAAGAGACCACAAACCTGTCCTTATGGCATCGACTTGGGACTCTGGAATCTCCCGTAACGCCAGCGGGCTGCACGCCTCTAGGCCAGCCTCCCGCCTATGCTTCACGTCTTGATTCTTTGACAGTCTCAAACCCTTTCACCGGTTTTTACGCCCGCTAGCTACCATTGGAGGTGGCCAACTAAACCAAAGGAACTGCAACCAGTGTCTAGGAGAGTAGAGAGCACAACTAGTGAGACTCGACTACCTTGAATTGGACGTCACTGAAAGCTGGCTTTGGCCGGTGCCAAATTACTTAAGAGGTCAACGCAAGCTTGCGTCTGGCAAGGCTCTCGGAAGCGCTGGCCATGTTGTCGTTGCGCTGAGAGACATCGAGATGGAAGAAGCATTGTTCAACGGTCCAGCCAATTATCGACGGCAGCTAACAATGCTGTGTAACACATGCAAATTGGTTTCCGAGTAGACTGAGTAGGCATGGCCTCCATATTCTACAACAGACACAGTACGGGGATGCCTTGTTAGCCGCCGACTGAAGAGGGCAATTGTTCATGGTCGCATTTCGAGGTCGACTTCATCCGCGTCTGATTAACGCAAGAACCACGTTGGCATCAGCTCGTCGTGCCCTATACCCATGATCCGTGATCGACAAAGGGTTTCCACAAGACGACCAGGTACGACTAAGCATTCTCCCAACATTGTCCCTCGACAAATCATAGGATTCAAGCGCATCGGCGCACACTCCGACTACTCCGTATTTTTTTCCAGACTCTGAAGCTGGTTTGCGCAAAACAAAAGCACACTAAGGGCAACGCCCCAATGGCAACTCCACCGCGAAACTGTCAACGTGTTGTCGATCGCCAACTTTATCACACTTCGGCCTCTCACTGTTACAGGGCTGTCCTAGCCCATCGAGCGGGTTGAAAGGGAGCCACCGGGCGAAATCGTCGATTGCTCCCAATACTTCAGCAGCACGGCAGTAGGGCAGTCGAGACAAGTGTGCCAGGGTCCTGCCCTGTTCCATTGCAGCTGCACCCCTCACTCTCTGAGCAGTGCCATGCCATCCCGAAGCTGGTTTTTCCATGCATAAAAGCTCTCCCATCGAGGCAACAACCCCCGCCGATCGTCGCCGGCCGCACAATTTCACAAAACGGTTGTGCCGGCGGACTCTCTGAAAAGGCGCAACCCTGCACGCGAGGGAGATAAGGTTTACCAGGTGAAGTGACAGCTTCGCGGCCGACCTCGCGCCTTGAGAGAATCGAGACACGGAACAAGCAGATGCCTGTTCCCACGGGTCATAGGACTGAGCGTAGCGAAAAAGGACAGAGTTGTGCTGCGCCTCATCTTACTGTCTTACGTGAGTATGGGAATTCGCCTTTTTCCTATCTTTCCACCAAGATACGGATGCCTAGGATTTATCAGCTCAGCTCCTCTCGGAAACGGTCCAGCATGGTATCTGCTACGTTGTCATCCCCGCGCTGTCACGACGAGAACAGAAGAACAGCGGAGACACCTGTGGATGCCACTTTCACAAATGGACTAGGATGATCAACGCGTCTGGCCAACTCGCCCCTCTTGCCGCAGCTGCACATCACCCCTCCAGTCTCCGTCGGATGCGTGTCGCTATCAAAAACCCTGTCTACGAGAGTGGATACCACATAGGTACACTTTCGTACTGTCATGTACTCCGTATCTTTCTCTGAGATAGAAATGGGGGCCTCTTCACCTCTCATTGGGAAGACGTGTGAGGGACGCCCACGACATCCCCAGGCAAAGCGTTTGTGGTTTTGCTTTTACCAGTCCGATTTCCAGCGTACCTGCGTCAGCAAAGGCATTCCACGTGGGGCGATGCTATTTCCTTGTGTTGGACCTCTTTTCTCTATGTATTAATAGAGAAGCGCCGAACCGTAGGGAAGGTTCATCGGGGATCGGGAGAAGGTTTTTGGTGCTACCGCTCCCGTGCGTTCCGCTCCCCCCTCACACAAAGAGAGCGGAGAGAGAGGGGGGTTGGACCCTTGGACTGGCTAAGGTGGTAGAGCTCATCGCGAGAGCTGCAATGGGAAAGTCTCGCAACAGCCACCTTTCGGGAATAGCTGACAGCCTGGGATCTCGCAGAGCACTCCTCTCGGTCCCGACGATGAAAATGCGTCAAAGAAATCTTTGCAAGGCACTGCTATTCTTGAAGACTATAGGAAGTCATGGGTCCTGGTCGACGTACCTGTCGATCTCTCTCTAAACCTGTCCGAAGCCGAGCAGAATTATCCCTTGACAGCAGCACATGGAAGATCCAGGATGAATGAAGGGCAGTTCATGTCCGGATGCAGCGATCGACAAGCGAGTGCTGCGTTGCGTGAGCTGTCTTGGGCCGTGTTGAGCCGCACGCGTATGGTCCCGAGGAGGAAATATATTGTCGGAAAGGGAGCCATACGAGAAACATGATTTTTCTATTCTCTGAAGACTCGGGGCAACCGGCGCTCAGCAACCTTGTGTTCAGGAATGTCTGTTGTCGATAAACTGGAATGAATTCCCGTCTCTCGGAAGCCCGACCGCGTACACTTGATAAAGTGGCCCATCCCACGCAGCTTTTGATTAACCCCGCGGCGCCACACTATGCAAGTGGCTAGCCGATAGGGAGTGCCAATTACACCAAAACTGAACGTCACTTTTTCTTATTGAACCAATTGCCCAGAGATACCACGCAGCATTTTTTTTTTATCTCTTTACCGCATTTTTATCTTGCTCATTGCACGTTTTCGACTCTTTCGTACCCGTTCTTTTGCGGTAGTCGTCTCCCAGATTGCTCCGAACTTTCTGTCGTATCCCGCCAGACCTAGTCGCATCGCAGTCCCATTTCGCCCGCAGCACCAAGCTCGAGGAGCCCCCGTCGCAACGACCATGTCCGATGTATTCCGTAAAGTAGGGAGGGGAGGCTCGGGGAACTTCTTTTCAAAGAAGGACGTGGACGATGCTGAAAAGGCCAAGCCAGAGGTAACACGCGAGACGGCCTGCCCTCTAAGAGCAGTTCGTAGCTAACCCAAAATGCTCCACGGCAAACAGGACATTGAGGCCCAAAAGTCGACCGACGTCGCCGCTTCCTCGACATCACCGACCTCGACCGGCTACGTGCGCGCGGGACGAGGAGGCTCGGGCAACTACGTGGACCCGACCTCTCTCCCCGGCACCAAGCAGCAAGAGGAGCTCGCGAGCAAGACACAGGCGGCCGTGACTGCCAGCATCGCGCGGTCGGCGGCGAGGGGTGCTTCTGGTCGCGGCGGCGCCGGCAATTATACGGGAGGCGTCGTGCCTGGCGCCGAGGCGAGCGAGGAGGAGGAGAAGCGCAAGGAAGCGCTCGAGAAGAAGATTATTGAGGACGTCGAGGCCGGCTTGCCCATGCCGCCCAAGGCTTTTCACCATACTACCAAGAAGGAAGAGGAGGGTGCTTGAGGAGTTTGGCGACCCCAGAGCGGCGTGTACGTTGCCCGGTGATGGGATTGTGGGATACCTGGAGTTAGGGTGGTTTCGTTTGTACAACATTTCAAGAGGCATTCATACCCGCGACGCTCGTCTTGGGCGATTTCACTTGCAATTTTTGAGAGCATGTAGAAGATTTGACAGTTTGTAAGCTAGAGTTCGCCATGTCTATTCGCCTGCTCCTTTGTTCTGAGAAAGGGGGATGCGACAATGTGATGGCACGCATTTCTGTTGGCATGCCGTTATTCACTCTAGACAGTGTCGGATACCCTCGAGATTGCGGAACGCATCCGGATGGTTATACCAGACAACGCAGGCTGAGAGGATACGGCATCGCATCCACAAGACGGGAGGAAAGGTGGCGACTGAGATGACGGAGGAACCGATCTGGATCAATCTGGACCGTGGATAACTTTTTGTGGTATTCCTTCTCAGAGCCACCAAACGCCGTCGATGCTAAATAGCCCTTTTGTATCCCTGAACGCCCGTGTATGAAAACAAAGCCCCCCCAAAACCAACTCTTGTCTCTGCTAAAGGAGAGCGGAGAGAAGAGAGAGGCCCATTCTTCGATTCGATTAGCAGCTTGTCTTTCTTTCTCTTCATCCGGTTGGTTGGCTTTTTTCTCCATCTTCTCCTATCCCTCGATGGGATGGGGGATCCCCCTCCTCCTTTTGGTCGGTTCGTAAAAAGAAAGACGTGACAAAAACGTCCCTCTTGGTCGTGGTCGTCACGCTCAATCCTCCATGTCGACATCGCCATCCTCGTCATCGTCGTCCTCCTCCGCATCCTCGTCGTCCCACTCGCCGTCGTCCTCCTGCATGACGCCGCCCTCGCGCTCCTCGACAACGTCGCCGTCGACGGTGACCCGCTGGCGAATCTTCTCGCGACCAAACACCTTGCCGGCCTTGCTCTTGGCCAGGCGTCCCTCGGCCTCGAGCGCGGCGATCTCCTCCTCGGTGGCGCCCTCGGCGGCTAGCCTCTTCTTCTCGGAGCCGCGCATGCGGGGCAGCAGGTGCTCGTTCTCGGCGACGAGCTTGCGCGCGGCGGCGATCTCGCGCTCGCGCTTGCCTTGCATGCGCTTCTTGTAGAAGACGCGCTCGCGGCGGGAGCGGATCTCGGAGACGCGCTCCATGGCCTTGAGCGTCTTGGCGACGAGGTCGCGGTCGTAGCGGACGGGGACGTTGCGCCGCGCGCCGAACTGGAGGGTGCTGTCGACCGTCATCTCCTTGTGCGCCGAGGCGCGGTAGGCCTTTGTCCACTTGAGCTTGCGGGGGTTGCGCTTCATCTTGAACTATGGTGCCAAGGGGCGGTTAGTCCATTGGCCGACGGGGAGGGGGGTTGGGTTCTTCGCAAAAGTCGTTGAAGAAAACTTAGAGACGTACGTTCTTGTGGCACTTGCTGCGGCAGAAGCGGAACACCTTGGAGTCATTGCGGACAAAGGTGATGCCCTTGCTGGGGTAGGCAGGGCGACTGCAAAAGTAGCACGTCTCGATTCTAGAAGCATCACGAAGTTAGAAAGCTTGCAAACCCAAATCGTTTACAGGTCAATCTTGGACTGAGAGGTTGACTTGTATGACAATGGAATAATAGACAAGAGCATACCTCATTGTGACGGCGTTGATACCTTCACGGGTATCACGTAAATAGTCACACGGTTGTTGGGTTGTTGGTGTTGGTTTCGACGACTCTTCCAAACACACACACGGGGAGGGTTCAGAAGGCGGTGATCGAGGCCTCTGCTCTCCAAAAGTTTTTTAGAAATTTTTCTTCTGCCGCTCCGAGGCACCGCTTATCGATTATGGTGGGGCTGGGGGGAACTGAGGTGGTTCTTTGCTGCGATAAGATTGCAGCGGGATTGGTGGAACCCAGGGGTCTGCTGACATAATGCACATGAAGCTTCCACTCTACTGGGCTTGTCGGACCCGGTTCAACAGGTCTTCCGAAAAACGGCTCAGCACGGACCAAGACCGGCGCATCGCGGCTTGCTCTGTGAGCGGCGGCGACTGCAGCCCAAAAAAAAAAGCTCTCCTCCGACCCGGAAGACCTTCTTCGCGATACCTCATCCGCTTTTTTCCGCAGTCATCCGCCACCTTCCAACGACGTATCGACTAAACACGACACGAAATTCTAGCGATCATGGCTTCTGTTCTTGCTATCGGAGGCGGCGCTGCCGTCGCAGCTTTCTTGGTACGATAGAAACAAAGCGCATTCAAGAAGGACCACGACTAACACAAGTGTTCCTACAGGGCCGAGCTGGTCTGGTCGCATGGCGCCGATCACGCGGCGGCGTTGGCGCGATGGGCAAGGCTTTCTACAAGGGCGGCTTCGAGCCTAAGATGAACAAGAAGGAGGCCTGTCTCATTCTCTCCCTCCAGTAAGTCGACGAAATCCCCCGAAGCACGTTAACCTGGCGAGACACTCGGGACGACGATGTCAACCTGGAAGGGTCAGAAAGAAGCAACAACATCTAACACAATGCGTTCTTAGGGAGAGCGGCGTCACTCGCGACAAGATCCGCAAGCAGCACCGCACCCTGATGCTCCTGAACCACCCCGATCGCGGCGGTAGCCCGTACCTCGCAACCAAGGTCAACGAGGCAAAGGAACTGCTCGAGAAGACGACATCTTGACAGTAGCCTTCATCATCACGGCGTCTGGAAATCTGGAAATGTAACAACAAGCACGAAAAAAACATACGAACGTAAAACAAGATACCGTGGGACCAACGGTCGGACGGATGGGTGCCGCCCTCGCCTACTCAACCCCGAATCCGGGGGACTACATGGTTTTGTAATTATAGATTGGTCGTTCTTCATAGCGGTGGCGTTTTATGGGCGACGACATAGGTCTCCTCAGAGGAGTTCTAAAAAAGAGGGGGTTCGCGTATGACTGGGCTGGGATGGTCTGGTCTTTGGGTATCGGGGCCTGTTGTAACATTATGTTTAATGGTATGAGACCCTCTCGTCTCTCTTCTCTCTCATCTACCTTAAGACATCACCGCATCTGCCTCCATTCTGTGAGCTACATATGAACGAGCGCCTTTTGAAGCATAGGAGCAGGTCGGAAGGAAAAGCATGCTGATGGATGTCGGCGTTCAGTGATAGTGCGTTGGGTGGAGACACTTCCAGTCAACCTAAGGTAGAGTGGATCGGTTCGGGCTGTCTAGTCGAGGTGTCTGTGAATATGTTTTCGTTGGGGAAAGTTTGGACATTGGGCTGCTGTTTGCGCCGACACAATGGGTTATCTGCTGCTGAGAGCGGTTTGTTAGACCGCGGCTGTTGTGTAAGTAGTGTACGAACAACTTCAGTCTGATCCAATTGCAAAGCAGTTTTCCACCTTGATTGTATCAATGCATACATCCGTAGCTGAAGGCAGACAACTGGGATGTTTTTATCCGTTTGCCGTTAGCTATTCCCACCACTTCAAGCTACCTACCTACCTTACAGCTTGATGACTGAAGCGTTTGACCTCGCAAACGCTCGGGGTTTGACCTACACACTTGTGCGGATAAGTTTGGAAGCGTACCCCCAAGGGTGCTTCAACCTGTCCAGCCTGCCTAGGATGTTTTTGAAAGCTTTGTTTCCTCTTGCAGCCTATCGCTGTAACTAGACTCAATTTACATTCTTGGATCTGTTAACGAAATCTGATCATCTTACTCATTCCCTAGCTGAGAGTGATGTAGTAGAGAAATAGAGCCGTTGCTGCTCGCAAGCGCTTTTTGGAAGCGTTTATCTCTAGAATATTGGTGCTGTTCTTTATTCGGTTATCCTCAATTACTAACCACGTACGACTGGTCAAAGATATCTAGTGTAGCAGCAAAGTGACTTCAAAGACTCCTCTTTCCCTTCAATATCCGTCAAAAGAAGGCCATGCATCTTGATAGAATACCAGTAGAGCTATCATCGTTCTGAATCGCACTATTCCATAAGACTCGGAATCTTGTCAAGTAGCTGCCACCGCCAATGTAAG